TTGTAAGTTTGATCCTATTTTTAAGAAGTTTCTTTAATAATACACTTAGTATAAAATTAACCATCATTTGATCAAGCTTTGACCCTTATTTTTAAAAAAGAGATTTAAAAGAGAGATTTTCTTATACTTTCTTTCACTGATTTCATCTACATAGAGAATGTTTGATATTTTCTTCTTCATTATTTATTTTATTAATAATATCGATAATCAATAATAGCTGTTGAACTCTTAACTTAGCAAATGATACTTTTCCTTGGTTGGTTTTTCATCTACTTTCTTCTATTTGGTCAAACTTTAAAGTTTTGTTTTTTGATAATTTTGATAAATGTATATTTAAATCTTCACGTTAACTAATCAATTTAAAATATTTAAATTTAAAATTCTACAATAGCTAAAATTAATAATCAATAACATTCAAACGTCATTTTAGACATTTTCAATTTTTAATTAATAATTTAAATACAGAGGTCGCTCTAGGATTTATTTCCGTATATCCGAGCTTCCTATTTCATTTTCAATTTACTTCAAAAATGTAAGTCAAAGACAGCTGTTGTCGTTACTGTATGTGGTAACCATGTTTTTATAAAAACTTTTTAAATGTGAATTATACATATGTATAAGGGTTAGACCCAAGATCTGTGGCCTACAGAGCCCGATCTTTGAATTTTAATATGTCGTTTGTGCACAATTGTCCTTCTATGAAGTATTTATTACCTAATTGACGTAAGTTTTTTCTATCATTGTATTTTATATAAAAAAATTTACTTAACTTAACATTATTTTAGGATAGCTCTGATGATGACATTTATTATGTCGAAAGTATACTTAGCTTAATTATTAAATAATTTTACACACTATCAATTTTATTGAAAACATACAAAACCAGCTTACCAGTTAGACCTTTTTTAGATACCAAGTTAATACGAAAAGGTACCCATTTGCTAGTTGATTGGTATAGAAAACCTCTCAGTTCAGGAAGATATCTCAATTATTGGTCATACCATAAATATTCAATGAAACTTAATTTAGTTAAAGAAATGAAAAATCGTGTCCTTAAAATCAGTGATACCGCTTTCCATACCAAAAATCTAAAAATCCTGTATAACCTATTCATTGAAAACTCATACCCAAGTATACTACTGAAGAAAATTTTGTTTAACACTCCACAAACTTTAACTAGTCATTTAAGAAACGAGGAAAATATGTCTTTATCACACGATAGAATTGGACCTGTAGATCCTTTACAAAAACAAACGACAATAAAATATGTATCCCTTCCATACATTAAGGACATTGGGCATAAACTTAGTAGAATTTTTTCATCACTTAATAATATCAAAATTGCATATAAAACGGTACTAACAGTTAACAAAGTTTTTTCTAAACTTAAAGACCAATCCCCACTCTTGTCGTTAACGGATGTTGTTTATTGTATACCGTGCGGATCATGTGAACAAGTATACTACGGTCAAACATCAAGATGCCTTAAAGACCGCATTATATCGCACAAGTCTGACAATAGATTACATCCAGAAAGAAGTGCATTGGGTGAACATACATTTAAAAATGGGCATCGGATAGATTACAATAACATCAAAGTAGTAGAACAGGAAAGTAACATCACCAAAAGACTTTTTCTTGAAATGGCATACATTTGCCAAAATAACAATGCAATGAATCATAGAACGGATATTAGTCATCTAAATGAATTGTTCTCCTATTTATTACTACTAGATAAATGCAACAGTAACAGAAACAGTAATTTATCAATTGACTTTTAATAAATTAAATAAAAGTTTTCTCTTCTTCTTTTTTTAATTGTTTTTAAATTTAGTAATTTTTGTATACACACAGATACTGGGGTCATACAAAACAATATCATATTCAATTGTAATATTTTTAGAATTATGACCTTATTTCTTTAGGTTAATTTAATAAATTTTGTGTTGAAACATATTAATAAATATAAAATAATTTATATAGCCACAATACATCTAATGATAGGCCTATAATTTGGTACTAGTATCTAATAATAAAAACCACTGAATTGTCTTGTGAAAAAACTAATGACGATATAATAAAATTAAGAATAAAAATGTCAGAAATGTGTGTATAATAAGTAAGTGTTTGTGATTGTATAGCAATTTTTAAAAATTTTAAATATAGGAATAAGTTTTATATAATAATATGACAGACTGTGATAAGTTTTATCGACATGGTAGAAAATCATTGATGATCCAACCTCATTAAGTTTGTAAGTAGCGAATCTTTAATTAATTATACAAACTTGTAACAAACTATTCATCATATTTGTAGCTCCCTGATGAAGGACATAACCATGTCCGAAAGCTCGGAATAAAAATTTAAAAGAGTACACGTATCATTTTTATTGCTGCAAACCCAATATTGAAAATTTACTTCCTTGTTGTCAGCAAATACTTCTAGTTCATTATATATATATATATATATATATATATATATATATATATATATATATATATATATATATATATATATATATATATATTTACACGACCCGACTATAGCTCCTCTTTTCAAAATGCGGTTATAAGTCGTCTTCCAGAAGGAGTGAATATCTTTAAAATATTATTCGTGTATATTAATTTTTTTATAATTCTTATAATGTATCGAAAATGAAAACATTATAATTTTTTATACAATTACCAAATTAAAACCAATTGGTCTTCCTTCTAAAATTACTATACATACCTCCTCCAATGTATATTAAATTAACAAAATAAATCTTTCTGCTATTCAAAATATACGTCAAAAACTACATTACAGTGGTTTACTCCTCCAAACATAAATTAGAGACTAAACGACGGTGGATACGTAAACCAAATAATATATTGAGTATATTTGGCGCGAAAAAATCTGTAAGCCTAACGATTTCTAACGTTTTGTTTTGCAGTGATAAAATATTCTTTATTCATATTACACGTGTGGTGCACTGGAAACTCTAGGTATGTACTTATATTATTTTTATTTTGTTACAGAACGGGTAATAAATACAATTTAATATTGTTTCAATTTAATAGGTAGTTGGATTGAACAAAACTACTAGATAATTATGCAAAGTAATATATTTTCTGTCTTCTCCACATTACACATTAGATATCTTTGTACACTTTACAAATATATCTGAACTACATTTATGAATACATATTATACAGTGTATCAAGGGATTGATTTAACTATACATGTAATGGATCAAACATTTTTGAATCTCGTTTTGATATTTTGGGGTCTCGGCTGGTTAGAGTTGCACAAATTTGACTTGAATGTTTGAAATTGACTTGAGTTTGACTAAATTTCCAGTCAAACTCAAGTCAATCCTTCTGACAAATAATTCTTCTTCTTCATGTGTCACTCCTATCGGAGATTGAAAATCATCTAGGCTATCCTAGCCTTGTTTAGAGCTGACCTAAAGAGTTCATTAATGGTGCAGCCAAAAAACTCTCTCAAATTCCGCAACCAAATCTTTTACGGTCTAGATTCCGTTTTCCTTTTATTTTTCCTTGAATTATATTTTGAAGTAATGCGTATTTATGTCCTTTCATTAGGTGACCCAAATATTCTTTTCTTCGTTTTATCGTTGACAAAAATTTCTGGGCCTTTTCCTTTCCTTCTTATTAAGTTCCCAAGTATTTGTAACTTGATACTTTTTCAATTTGAATGCTGTTTATACTAATATATGCTGATTGTGTCATGTTTTTACTGAAGACCATATACTTGGTTTTTTTATATTGATATTTATGCCATAATTGTTGCAAGCAATATTTAAGTTTTTAAGAAATCATTGTAATTCTTCTACTGTTCTTGCACCTAATACAGTGTCATCCGCGTATTCAATATTATTTACAACCTCTTCACTGATTACGATTCCTTCGTTTGCTTGCAAAAGGGGTTTCTGGCAGATGCTTTCACTATAAACATTAAATAGCAGCGGTGACAAGATGCATCCCTGTCATACTCCTCTACGTATTTCTATTGCCTGTGATGTCTTATTTCCTATTTTTATATTTTCCTGATTCCAATATATATTGAGAATTATTCACAGATCTTTATTATCTATGTCTTTTCTTTCAAGAATGTCGCTTAGCTTATCATGGCGTACTCTGTCAAACTTTGGCAAATAATTCAAGTCAAGTTAAACTGGTCAATGGTTAAGGCTTTGAAAATTAAAATTGTTTGTTAAACTAGTTTAAAAGAGTTTGAAAATAATTTATTTATTTTAGTAGATATACTTTTTTTTCAAGATAAAAATAATATTAAGATGCCAATTTAGATAACAGAATTCGATTCAGATCAGAATAGAGTCGTAAATTCAAGAAAATGATTCATTTACACGTAAAATTGCCTGCTTAGCAAGTTTCATTTTATCGTTGATAATTTTATGCCTTCTATTCTGTTAACGATATCATTTTTTTGTTTATTTAAGTGTTGCTTAGATGACAGCAAAAAATCCGTTGGATGGTTTTTTTATAATACCAAGTGTATCTGATCTAGTGAAATTGATCCGATTTTTGTGAAATTTTGTATTTTGACATAATTTCATATTTTGAAAAACTTTTATTAATATAATTTTGCCGTATTATTGACCGAAATGAAAATTTTTTTCTTAACTGTCACGGACAACTTGAATTTTAAAAAGTAAACATGTGCTTGAAATTATTTTCAGATCAAGCAGGCCGGGACCCCAAAACATCAATACGAGCATAAAAATTTTGTATAAAAGTATAAGAGTTTTAAAAAAAGTAGGGTTCAAATTTTTGCCCACTCAGTTAAACAATACTTAGATATTTTATCACCAGTATATTTTTAGGATGAAACCAATTCGTTTTTGTAACAGAGCGCTAAGTCCCGTAAAAATTAACCAATCAGTAAGCGAGAAAGTAAATTCAACTGAAATTCTTTCGGTAAGTTCCAGTTACATTTTTAAAAAAACATAGCTTATACTTAAAAAAAATATTTTGTAGATCAAAAGCTCTCGATTTTATAGTGGATCTAAAGAAAATATACTCCCTTGTAATTTTACCCTAAAAGAACAGCATAACAAAGATGAGGATCAGTATAAAGTTGGTAAAAAAACCGCTAATGAAATATTACCGATTGAAAATTCTAATGCATCTGACATTTCTTCCGTAAGTTTAACATTTAAGAGCATTTTATTCTCAAATATGAACAGTATGCGGCAAAATAAACAGTACGAAAGTGCGTATGCCTCAGATTTGTATGTGTCATGTGCCGAAACGTATTAAATGATTTCTGAACGTCGTTATAACTTATGTGAATGTCATGATAATGTTAGGTGCTTCAGGGTGGTTCTCAGTTTTGCAGAAAATTTTTTTATCGTGAAGTACTATTTTCGATCATACGAAAAGGTCGCGAAATCGGTCCAAAAGGCTTAAAATCAACAATAGTTTTAGCAGGACGGGCAATCTGTCACACGGTCAGTGAGTCTTTTCGAATACTGTTCAGTGATTTTTCATACATATCGCAATTATAAGGCCTAACCTAACGAACACCACATAATACGTACATATGAGGAATGCTGAAGGAGGCAGACCGATACAATGTCTGACATTCCGGAATAACAAACTCCAATTAGATTTTTTTAGTGCCAGATGGCATCTTTATTATCTGTTTTATCGGAAACGTCGTTGTGAATAATGCTGGTAAGGCTATATTATCATGTATACTAAATATATAGATATTCATATACATTTCAATATTCATTTCAGTACTGTTTATTTTACCGCATACGGTATTTCCCTACTTCAGTCACTTTTTACTATGAAAAATAATTTTAGGAAATATCCTTAAGTTCCCCTCAATTTTATGGTTCACCTGACAGTATCTTCACATCTGAAGAAAGTGATAAAGATAACACAGATTCTCCAGATTTAGAAACTCCATCACCAGCTTCTGATGAATTGTTAGATCCCAATTATGTTCCCTTCGATGATTCTTCAGTAAGTACAATAAAACTTTAAAAATAGTAAAATATGTTGTGGACTCTGTAATATTGAAATGGATAACGGAAAAAATATAATATTTTTTTATTGGGTTTTTAGGAAAAGTCTTCAGGTTCTCCAGAAATAAATAATTTTTCTTCCCACTTTTGTCCAAAACAAGTTAAAAAAGATGAGTTAAATATTGAGGTAAGTTTATTTCAAATATTTTAGCAATATAATTCAAAGCACATACTTTTTAGGAACAATCTAATTCACCTTCGTCTTCTGTGAGCCTAAATATCCATCAACATGTGGAAGAAACTTGCAATATAAATACGAAGTCTTTAAAAAAATCTGTTTTTTGTTACTTCTGTGAATCAGTTGTATTAAATTTTCCTCGACATATACTACGAAATCATCAAAGCGAATTAGAAGTTCAAAAAATTTTGGTTTACCCTCCAAGAAGTAAAACGAGAAAGCAATTGTTATTTGCTTTGAGAAAAAAGGGAAACTATTTGTTAGGTTCTGCAAATTTAAAACCAGTTAGGAAAGGATCTGCAGATACAAACTACCTACCGTGTGACCACTGCTTCGGCATGTATTCGGCAAAAAACTTATGGCGTCACAGAAAAATATGTAATCCTGATTCAATAACCAGAAATTCCCAATCACAAGCACAAAATTTCTTATTAAGGCACCTTAAATTGGACACATATTTAAAAGAAACTGTTTTTCCTCGAATGCGAGCAGACAATGTATCACTCGTGGCTAAAAAAGATCCGCTTATTTGTGCGTTTGGCTCAAGATATTTGAAGATCCATAGAGAACAGCACTTTATACCAGTAGCGTCAAGAAAAATGAGGGAATTAGCTAAAATTGTTATCGAACTAAGAAAAAATAGTTCTTCAATCAAAACGCTTTTTGACTCATTGAAACCAGAATTTTACGATTCTTTAGTTTTTGCTACTAAAATAGTTTCAAAATATGATAACGAAAGCAAAACTTTTAAAGCTCCATCATTTGCTAAAAATATTGGCACTACACTAAAACAATGTTGTGATATAGCACTTATGCTTAATGCGAAAAAGTCTGAGTTTACAGTTAAAAGTACCAGCACTAAAGCTGACTTAAAATCTTTAATACAAATAATAGAAGGAAATTGGAAATATGATATTTCCAGTCAAGCTGCAAATGATTTAGACATGAAAAAATGGAACAAAGTGACGTTAATACCACTAGCAAGTGACCTTAAGCTATTGAAAAACTATCTCGTGCGAAGGGCAAATGAATCTTGTGATAAATTACAGAATAATAATAATGATATTAATTCTTACATGTTTCTGTTGGAAACTATATATTGCCGTCTAATTTTATTAAATAGAAGGCGCCCTGGTGAATTAGAAAGAATGACCATACAGAGTTACATTAGCGCTAAAGATAATCAATGTTATGAAGAATTTTCTGAAGCAATTTCAGAAACCGAAAGAATTTTAATGTAAAGTTTTAAAAGAATAGTAATAAAAGGTAAAAGGGGACGTAGTGTACCCGTCCTAGTAAGTAAGGATGTACAAGAACACTTAGAAATGATTACAAAATGTAGAGATTTACTTTTAAAAACACCTAGTATTTACCTTTTTGTTAATCCAAAATTTGATAAACCAATTCGAGGGTATGAAGTTATATCAAAGTATGCTAAATTATGCGGAGCTAAAAATCCTAGTGCTCTTACATGTACAAGGCTGAGAAAACATCTAGCAACGCTAACCCAGTTGTTTACCATGTCGGAAAATGACATGGAGCAACTGGCTTCATTTATGGGGCACACATTAGGAATTCATAGATCTTCATATAGACTCCCCGATGACATTTATCAAACTGTAAAGATCTCTAAGTTGCTCCTGTTAATGGAGAAAGGTAAAGCAGGTCAATTCAAGGGAAAAAGTTTAGAAGAAATAGAGATAAATTTGGAAGAAGACATTATGGAAGATGATGATGGACATAATGACGAGGTATTTGGGGAACAAAAAAATGAAATCAATGACGTTATTGAATCAAAAGGTCCAGAATGTAGTAATAATGAAAAAAAGGGAATAATGGATATGAAGGCAAAAAATAAAAAAAGGGTTTTAGTTCCGTGGACAGAAAATCAGAAGAAAGTAGTCAAAATGTATTTTAAAACCCATATTAAACAAAAGATGCCCCCCAAAAAATCGGAATGTGAAGATCTGATTTTAAAAAATCCTGATATATTAAAAAATAAAAATTGGCTCAAAATAAAGGTCTTCGTTCAAAATGAATATAAAAAGTGTTAAATGTCCAAGTTTTTTTCGAAATTAAGTTTTTGCAATATATTCTGAGTTTTCGTTAAGTATTTTTATTTGCGTTTATATATTCAGTATTGTTAATATTTTTATTATTTGTTTTTAAATATTAATAATGATTAAAATTAAAGATTTATAACGAACATAGATAAACGTTTTTTTTTTTCGTTAGCCCTTGTTAAAAATTTACAAATGATTATCAATAATACTTATATATATAGAACTTAAATAATCAGATTCGATTACAATATAACAAATACAATACATTTGAATTCATTTTTTGTTTTTACCATCACTTTTATTGTAAACAAAAACCTGTCTACTTTGATTCTGATTTTTAGTTAAAATATGTATATATCTTACTTTAAATATTAAAGAAAGATTGGAAGACTATTAAGTAGTTTTCGAATCATTATTCCAGAGGAGGACTGAACCACCGTAATATAAAAATAGGAAGAACTAAAGTCGGTAAACTATAATTTGAATATACGTAACGAAATATACGCCGACACTGGCGACACAACAAGTAATGTGGCGATCATATTGAACTAAAGTATTCAAATGTACAAAAACATGCAATAACTCATCCATCTGAAATTTTGCTCAATGGTTTAGAATGACGTTTAGACTTCTTTTATAATGATTGCGATAAGTCCTCCGTATACGGAGGACGTACCACAGTGGAGGACCTATTCAATGTAAATTTCCTATATAAGGAGGAGCTATCCACTGGTGCGTATATATATATATATATATATATATATATATATATATATATATCTATATACCCGGTATTTATTTAGGCGGCATACGCCCTTCCGGTAGGGATCTATGGAGGAGTATCACCGAGCCGCAAGCCCTTATCTCTTGCCGCACTGCTCCACCATAGGCCGATCAGACACCAGCATATTCTAGTCTAAGCCGCAGAGTCATTTAGAATTTTAAACTACTGCGTTAGTCTTTTTTTCTGTACACCGAGCTGGGGATCGAACTCACATCACTCGCATCGAAGCGAATGAGAAGCCGGCCGCACAGCCCGTTTGGCTATCTGACCGACAATTTGTTCTTTTACAAAGTTGTTCGCAAAACCAGCCGTGCACATGTCGGAAATATACATTCTTAAAAAATCACAAAAAACAAAAGTACTATAGTAAAGTACCACAACTTTAGTAAAAAACTTAAATATGAAATGTTATCAAAGTAATATCGTGAAAATAATATATTTACAACTAAACTCTATTACCTACATCTTACGGTTACTCCGAATTGATGGTGCTTCAGACGGTTAGCAATGTTGCCAAATTGAAATGACGCAGAATAATCGAGAGAATGAAAATAATATACACCAATGAATTATACTCCATTATTTCATGCCCCTCCTGAAGGAGATATCGTGAACTAATATATACACAAAAATTTCATGCTAACACCATTGTTGCGTCACTTAAAATCTTCAATAATTTTGTTGCTATAACTCAGAACTATATGCAAATTCGCAACATCCCTTGTTTGGATTACGAGTGTCTCCTGATGTCAGTTAAGAGAAATTGGTAACGACCATTTTTGAAATATAAGCGATTGTAATACTGCGTCCGCATATTGACGCAACAATGTGGCGGATGCGGCATTACATGCAAAAACATAAATATAAGGACGTATCAATGTCTGCAGGATATATATATATATATATATATATATATATATATATATATATATATATATATATATATATATATATATATATATCTATGTGTATATATAGACATATATATATATATATATATATATATATATATTATATCGATTGTATAATATAATATAATAATCATATGATATATAATCGATTTTAGTGTGTAGAACAATCGTGGTACCTGTCTGTAGATATGCAGCTTTTCTTCATTTCCCCTCCGCTCTTATATATCCTAGTGAGGAATCCAGTAAGGGCATGCATGGTATGTGTCGCCATTTGTTTAACATCTGGAATATATTCATACATTTCAACAATTCAAAACAATCACGGAGCTAACTACTTTGAGTAAGTAAATTTTATTATATTATATTAGGTAGTATTAAGCTATAGACTCGACATATAATATTTGTGTGCCTACTTACTTTATTTTGTATTAATTAATTAATTATTATAAATGAAATAAAACAAGACATCGTTTTAAGTTGACGGTTGACACACCTGTCCTTTTTTATTCAATAGCAATTTCTAGCAAATGCCAACATCCAAATGACATCATCATGACACGACATACAAAGACTCATAGCTTTTTTATATACATAAAAAAATGTGTTAATGGCTCCCGAAAATTTGAAAATGGAAATATATCATACCCAATTTTGAAGCCATTCATAAATGATTAAACAGAGAACAACAAGTGATTTATCAGGATATGTGGACGAAATATCGTCGCTCAGATGCCAAAACCTCATATCTTAATTTTCGATGATTTTATGTTTTTGAGTTGTCAACATTATACTCCAATCGCCAGAGACGAAAATCCCACTGAACTCTTAAAAATCATACGAACACGCTGAATTTTGCCAAGAATATTAATTTTGGGGTTTCTAAAAAGATGCAAAAAAGTTTACCATTTTTACCCCCTGGCTTCCCCCCAAAACCCTCTCGAAGGGACGTAAAAACGCAAAAGATCGATTTACCAAGAATCTGTATGCCATAGAAAAAACTGTTTCAAATAAAAAATGCAGAGATAATTTTAAACAAAAATGTTTATTAGCACTTTTTGTGTACAAGCAACCGTTTTCTTAGAAACAATACTTGAAGCGACCGTCGATTTTGAATGTCAGTTATGTGCGCGAAATTAATGTTCAATAAAATTTGTATCAGCTTGATGTTAAAAATTCGATATCTTTTAATTCAAGTGTACTATCGACAAAAATCAAAATGCGTTATAAAGGTAAAGAGTATGTAAGCAATTTTTGTAATTTGTCGCAAATAAACTCAGATTTTATAAAGGTGTTAAATAAATAATCGTGGCGCAATTTTTGCCATGTTTTATGATTCTCATGAGACCCTTTAATCAAAAGATTGTTACCGTCGAGCTGATACAAATTTTATTGAATATTGATTTCGCGTTCGTAACTGACGCTCAAAATCGACGGTCGCTTCAAGCGTTGTTTCTAAAAGAACGGTTCATTCTACACAAAACAGTGATTATAAACATTTTTGTTTAAAATTATCTTAGCTACATTTTATATTTGAAATATTTTTTTCTACGACGTACAGATTTTGGAAAATCGTTTTTTTTTTTGCGTTTTTACCCCCCTACAAGGCGGGTTTTAGGGGGAAGGCAGGAGGTAAATGTAGTAAACTTTTTTGCATCTTTTTTGGTGTCCCAAAATTGATAGTCTCAGCAAAATTTAGCTTGTTCGTATGATTTTTAGGGGTCAACTCTCTGACGACTGGGCTAATTAGGAATTCGAGCCGCATCGATGAAAAAACCTCTTATATCAAAACGTGTGAAATCTCGTATCTTACGTGCTGTAAACAAACCCCGTAGGCCAATAAGTGTCCGTAAAATGTATAAATATTGAACTTTTCGAAACAAGCTGGAGGTTTATATGTGTTTATTAGAAAGTTATCGTAAGTAAAAAACTTAATATTAGGTATGAGTGAAACTAACGAGAAAAATTGACAGTATAATAGCGGCATTGACTTTAAAGAACCTTTTTAAGGATTAAAGTATAGTTAAGTATTATCCAAATTTTTGGTCGGATTAGGAAGAAGAAACTGGCAATGTCACTATAAGCAAGAAATTTGAAACGACAACTTAAGAGGTGAACGTTACACGAGAAGAAAAAAATGAGGGAAAAAGGCATCGCAAAAAGGCAAAGCAAATTCTTCTACTTCGGAAAGAAATGAACAAAAATATTTATGAATGTGCGATAAAAAATACAGAGTACAAAAGAAGAAAAAATGTGGATCTTGTATAATTACTATAGAGAGAAACTTGCGGGAAATTAAACTAACCTCCACAAGGAAAATAAGATTCCTGTAGTAGGCTATACACCATAAATTACAAAAATTTTATTTAAAAATCTTCTATAAAGGGTGTATAGTTAAAAAGATCCTTTCGGGCTACATCACAATAGAACGTTTTCGGACTAACAAGTGCATCATCAGTGCATTTACCAGGTGTACATGAGTCAAACCACTAAATATGTAGGTAAACACCATTAAAATGGTACAAAATTTGTTATTTATTACATCTTTGTTAATAAGTTAGTGTGATGGTAAAGTTTTTAACATATATCATGCATGGCAAATGATGGTGAAGTTTTTAACCTGCATGACAACTTTAACATCAGACAAACTTATTAACAAAGATGTAATAAATAAAAAATGTTTACCCTTTTGTTCCATAAACTTGTTCGTCCGAAAACGTTCTGTTGTGATATATCACGAAAGAATCTTTTTAAGTATATAGATATTTTTTATAAAGGATTTTTTAATAAAATCAAAATGTACTTCAGTAAAGTGTCTAGCGGCAAAAGAATAAAGCAAGTGTTCAATGATTATTCGATTAACAATGAAGGAAGATTTTTTACGTGTTTTGACCTGAGATGGATTGGCATCAACGAAACTTATTTGTTTGTAATCTAATTCATAAACAACCAACAACCGGTATGCTATATTAATTGCTCCTCTGTACTTTTATATGAAGCAGCAGTGTAACACTAAAAGTCTCATCTATGGACATAATTGAAGCATTGTAAATGAGAATTGAATGCTAAAGATACCTAATACAAAGAAAAACTAATGAGGTAGTACTAGGGATAGAGAATTATTAAAGTTTGTTAAACACCGGAAAATGTCTTATCAGGGACATATAGTGAGAGGAAATCAATATAAAATATTAAAACTAATCCTTAAAGGCAAAATAGAAGGTCGTAGAGGTGTAGGAAGAAAACACGTTTTTTGGTTAAATAACAATCGTGTTTTCTTCCTAGACCTTCTATTTTGCCTTTAAAGATTAGTCCATGCAGGACAATTATTCTATCTGGAAGAACATCGACAAGCGTTCACAATGGTGATCATGAACGTCGGATAAATCTGATATGAGACGTGAAGAAGAAGAATTCCGGTATGCAAAAAATGTTTCTTTATACATTGTTCGGGTAAATGACGTATTTAAAATTAAGTAAAAAAATGTTGTATGTTGGGTATCACAAAAGTAACTACTACTAATTTTCATACCTAGTAGTACTAAACTATTAAACTATTAAAAAAATACTATTAAACCTGGTAATGTTGAACGTAGAAATAAGTTAAAGCATTCAACAACGAGTAAACTTTATTTGAAAACAATTTTTCAATCATATAAGGAGTGTACGACGTATACAAAAAAAGGTGAATCAAAATCTGCTGTGAAGAAATAGAAAGGGCATTAAAACAAATAAAAAGGAATAAAGCTCCTGGAAGCGACGGATTCCTAGCAGAAATGCTTAAGGAAGGCGGAGAAGAGGCCATCAGATATCTAAAAATGTCTATTCGAAGGCAATACACCTGATCAATGGAATGCTGGTAAAACAATACCAATACACAAAAAGGAAAACATCACAGACCTGAAACATTATCGACCAATTTCACTTCTTTCACACTTTTACAAAACCTTTACAAAGATTATTATAAACAGGTTAACTAAATTAACTTTAACTGACGGATATCAACCAGTAGAACAAGCCGAATTTAGAAAAGAGTACAGCATCTGTGACCATCTCTGAAAATCCTAATAGAATCCTAAAAATACTATCGAATACAATCTCCCATTATGCCTGGCTATAGATTATGAATAAGATTTTGATAGCGTAGAACTGAGGGCAATAGAAGAAGCATTAGTAAACAACTGGATCGACTTCAGGTATATAATATTAATACATAATATTTACGAACAATACAAATACATCATTTACTGAAATGATAGTGACGTTGGGTAATGGAATCGAAACAAGACCAGTAAAAATCAACTGAGGCGTAAGACAAAGAGACACAATATCTCCAAAATTATCTACAGCTGCCCTAGAAGATATCTTTAAGTCAATAGACTGGAAAAATAAGGAGATCCCTATTAACGGAAGATACTTGAACCATTTTAGATACGCAGATGATGTAGTACTAATAGCCGACACGTGGAATGCACTGAATACGATGATTGAGGAGCTACACACAGAATACCTATAAAAAGGACTAAAAATGAATTTCAGCAATACTAAACTAATGTCAAACAAAGATGACAAACCTATGATAAACATCCAAGTGACTCTCATACGTACTTAAAAATAAAAATATACGTCAAAAACTGAGAACTAATGTGTTTAATTTCTGTATTCTACTTGTACTTTCATATGGAGCTCAAACTTAAACATTCACTAAAATAAACATGGAGAAGATCAAAAAAACTCAGAGAGCTATGAAACGACACATGCTGGGTATCTCACTCAAAGACTATAAAACCAATGAAGTCATTCGTAATAGAACAAAAGTAAAGGATGATGTCAACAGGATGGCAGCTAAACTTAAATGGAAATGGGCTGAACATAACGAACGTCTTAAGGATGGCCGATGTAATAAAGAAATTGGGAATTGGTGGCCATATGAAGAAAAAAGACCACGGGGAAGACCGCAAATGCGCTTGCGACGATATTAAAAGAACTGCAGGACCAATGTGGAAACGTCTTACAAAGAACAGAGAAAAATGGCGAGAATTAGGAGAGGCCCATATTCGGCAATCCGAATGGAGAGGGAGGCTTAAAAAACAATCTGCTATCGGATATAATATTTTCTTGAAGGAAATGAACAATACAAATATTGATTTATACCATACAAAGCAGGACTTAGATAGCAAAAAATCAAAGCTAAAAAAGATGTGCTGAAAGAAAAAGTGTGTAAATTTACGATGGATGTAGTGGCTGCCCAACTTGTCCCTATCGTTCCAGGAGGCATGGCACACTTTAAACAGAAACTAGTATGCTATAATTGTACTATCTATAATTTAGCAAATAAGTAGTTTTTTCATGTATAGCATGTGGTAGAGGGTAAAATGGGTGCCAACTATTTTTCATCTCGTGTAATTAATTTTTTTAATGAAGAGTTAGACGTCCAAAAAAAGAACAGATCAAAGACATTTTATAGCGATGGATGTTCGGCGCAAAATCTCAACACGACATTTGCAAATTCACTTAAACATTTAGTTAAAATAGTTAAAAGTAAAAATTCTTCTACACATGGACCCAAGCAGTAATACTGCGGCGGAGACAGATTCACGCACGTGATCGTCAACATGAATCGAAGGATTAAAAGCCTATTATAGGATCAAGTTGACAATAAAGACTTTTTTCAGGGATAACGTTTTAGGCACTTACATTGACACAGAAATATGAATAGTGTAAAGACTACCTAGACCAGAGTTTCCCATACTTATTCAAACCGCGACCCCTTTTTGCTAAAAAATTTGTTCGCGACCCCCCAATTTCCCCCCACTCATTTATTCAATATTATTTGACAGAAATAGCGTGCCTAATTTACAATTATCTGATAAATTTCTCAAATTTAATTTTACTTTACTGTTTAAGTTTACATCAAAAACAATCCTACATCGCAAAACTCTTCCATGATAATCCCGAAAGCGCTCGCTACTAGATAACACTCTGGATCTGGAACGTTCTCGAAGCCTCGTTTTGGTTTTATATAAGCGGCGATGCGCAACGAAACCTCAGTCCTCAGTTCGAATCCAAACAGCCTATGGTGGCGAACGCGGTGTTGAGTAATGAGTAAATATTTTACGACTTACGTATTCCCGTTTACGTATTTACGTCTACCATAAATTATAAATTATGAATAAGTTTTTAAAAAGAAGTGCAGAACCATCTACGTCTGAAAGTGGCAGTAGCAGCAATAAAAAGAAAAACAGATTCTACATTGATGAATATCTTAAATATGGTTTTACCGTTATTTCCAATAAACCACAATGTGTTATTTGGGGACATGTCTTGTAAAAAGAAAGCATGAAGCCATCAAAGTTACTTCGATATTTAAATAGCAAACATCCAGATAAAAAAGACAAGCCCGTGAAATTCTTTGAAAGAAAGCTGAACGTCCTTCACAAACAGCAAGACAGTTTTTTTTTTGGCAACCATTACTAATAAAAAAGCATTATTAGCAAGTTATAAAGTTGCTTATCGTGTTGCCAAAACTAGTAATCCGCACACAATTGCTGAAAATCTGATTTTTCCAGCAGCTGTTGAAATGGTACATATAATGTGTGGGGAAAGAGAGGCTGCAAAATTAAATACAATACCTCTGTTAAATAATACTATTCAAAGAAGAATTAGTGATGGCAGAAGATATTCAAGCGCAAGTTGTGAAAAATCTTAATAAATGCACGTACTTCTCTCTTCAAATGGACGAATCCATAGATATATCTAACTGTGGCCAATTCATTACGTTTGTAAGATATAATACAAATAATGGCATTCAAGAAGATATTTTATTTTGTTCCTCATTGCAGACCAATACCACTGGAAAATGTTTGATCGACACTTTTGTGAAACATAAGTAAATATGATATTGACTGGGGTACATGTATTGCTATATGCACAGATGGCGCTAAAGCTATGACAGGACATAAATCTGGTCTTGCCAAATTACAAGAAATAATGCCTAATACCAAATGGAGATATTGTTTTTTACATCGAGAAGCTCTTGCGTCCAAAGCTGTACCTCCTGAAATGGACTGTGTTATGAAAACCATCATTAAAGTTGTAAATTCCATTAAAGGAAAAGATTTGCAGACCCCTATTTTTAGAAAAATTTGCGAAGACATGGGTGCTTTATTTGAAAATCTTCTCTATCACACCGAAGTAAGGTGGCTTTCAAGGGGCAACGTCTTAAAAAGAGTATTTCACTTAAGAGCAGAGCGTTTAATGCATTTAAAAGATGAGAAGTCCCCATATGAAAATCAATTTTCCGATCCTATTTGGCTTCTGAAACTAGGTTTCCTTGTTGATATTTTCGAGCAATTAAATATTTTGAACAGTAATTTACAAGGTCGCGCCATTAATATAATTACAGCCACAGATAAAATTAAGGCGTTTCTAAGAAAAATCGATTTATGGTCGAACTCACTTGGCAAAAAACAACTCGATTCATTCCAGTGCCTTCAGGAAATTATGGAAAATATATCCAATTACAGTGCTACAAATTTTGAACAAGTTTTTGCTGACATGCATGTTACTTTGCTCAATTTAAAACAACAGCACTTTGATTATTTCCCCGAAGAAATTCAAAACAGTTACGACAGTTGCATATGGATACTAAATCCGTTTTTAGCCGATTCCTTTCAGCATGTTGAAATACCAATAAACATGAAAGAAAAACTTATTGAAATATCAAGTGATGAAATGTTGAAGCTCCAATTTTTTTCCCAGAACTCGGACCAATTTTGGACCGAAAAGATGCAGGAATACCCCCAGTTGGCGAGTGAAGCTGTAAAATGTTTGATTCCATTTGTAACATCATATTTGTGTGAGTTAAGTTTCTCGTCTATGACTACCATTAACACAAGAGTTAGAAATCGTCTCGTACTTGAAAAGTGTTTCTCAAATACACAGCCTAGATTTGAAAGATTAGTTTCACAGAAACAGGCGCATAGCTCTCATTAAGATTATAATATTTGACTTTGTTTTACTCTTTTATTTTTACGGACTTTAATATTTAGTTTTATATTTCGTCTGATAATTAATTGTTAATTTCTATTTACGACGTTGTTAAAATAAAAATACATGATCTAACAAAGTGGTGCTTTTGTCTTATTTTGGAAATGTTCGGCGACCCCCACTTTGGGAAACATTGACCTAGACAAATATGTTAATATTATTAGAGAGTACTATGCTACTACTAGAGAGAGTATTTATATTTATTTTTTCAGGGTTAACGTGGGATACTTCGAAGGAATGTACTTACCGACAAAAACTCGATTACCACCATATTTTATTGGTATTATTTTTGGATACATCGTTTACAAATACAAAAATCTAAAACTTCGCAGAGTAAGTAATAACATATTTTTTAAATATCGTAAGCAAGATATTATCAATGTTTTATTGATTTTACCTTTTATTTTTATACATTTCTCATTTGAGAATGATCTACTAGTGCGAAAATAATTTTATTGATTTTAGCCTATCAGATATCTAGCGTGGGTGGCCGTTATAGGTACCATGTTTGGACTCATTTTGGTACATCTGGTATACACAAGAGCAACAAGCTACAATCCAGTTCGATCTGCTTTATTCAATGGATTTGCTCGGCAATTGTGGGCAATTGCACAAGGATGCTTCATTATTCTTTGTTTATCAGACAAAAATGGTAAGCTTTTTTTATTTTTTTTTGTTTATTTGCAATAAATTTCTATATAAAAGTTTTAAATAAATAAATAGTGTGCTTAAGCTTGGGGAGCAAATATTTACTTATGTTTCACCGTATCATGACAGTTGTAATCATCAGACCATAACATAACAATTTAGTATCAGTGAGTAGAAGGCCTTTTAAAATATCGGTTTATGTTTATATTATGCATTCTGCTGATGAAGTGTTGAAACATTTCCAAGAAAAAGACCTACTCTTAGAGAAAGTGTTGTTCCAAAACTATTTCCAGGACTTCCAAAATATCTGACAAAGCAAGAACATGGTTCTAAAAGGAACAGTCCCATAAAAACTTGTTTGTAAGGATAATTATAAAAAGCATCAAGAAGAGAAAGCTGGAGTACTTCGGTCATGTAATGAGAGATTTCATAAACATATGTTTAGGAAAATAGCAGGCAAACACAGGACGAAGAACGACTTCATGGTTGAATAACTTGCATTGGTATGGTATTGATACAAACATGCTATTTAGGATGGCAGTGAATAAAATTAATATAGCTATGATTGCAAGAGTAATTATCTGGTTGGAGAAGGGCTATTGAAGAAGAAGGACTTCAGTTAATCAGGTAGAAAGCGAAGTATATGTGGTTGAGAGAAACAGGAATAGTTGAGGACATCGAATTGCTTTGGATAAAAATAAGACGAGTAGGAAAATTTAAATACATTACCTCCAACATAAGGGAAATTGGAAGATTAGATTAAGAAATTGGCCACAAGCTTATCTAATCGTTTAAGTAAAAGCGAATGAGCGGATCTATCTAGAAGTCTATAAATGTGCAGTAGGCATGTTTCCGCTAGAGTTTAACTACTATAATCACGTCACATCGTATATTCGAAATATAAGATGCAAAATTTAACAGATCACTCCCCCTCCGCATTCCTTGAGCCCATGTCAGGGCGTGGTAACACTCTTAATATTGTTAGCTTACTGTCTCCATTGGCTGCCATCCTGTGTCAGATGGTCTGCTTCATGTTGAGATTTTTCCACAATTGTTTCCATTTGGTCTGTCATCCTGTTGGATATTTTCCTCTTGGTCTTCGATCTTCTCCTGTCCTTCTACTACCGATAGTTTCGTGGTGCATATTCTTCTGACTATGTGGCTGAAGTAATTTAGGTATGCTCGATTTACTTTTTTAATAGCCTTTTTTATATGATTTTTTGTAGTATTTTATATGAAGTTTTTGTAGAATTGATAAGTTGGTTATGTGTTATGTCCATGATATGTGTAGAATTCTGCTGTAGACCCATATTTCGAAACCTTCGATCTTACTTCTATCTATTTTTTTGAGGGTTCATTTTCAGCTGCATATTTAGGAGTGGGAATAATAAGGGCTTGGTCAACTCGAGCTTAGTATTTCTTGTTATTGTTTGGTCTTACCATATTTTAATTAATTTTGCTGTTGCGGTCCTAGCATTGTTAGTCTAATCTTGATTTCTAAAGAGCTTTATGCCATTGTTGGTAATCAGGAAGCCTAAGTATACAAAGCTATTAACTACGATCATTATTTTTATTTTTCAGGTGTTGATCTGAAGCCTGAATTTTTTGCTTATCCGGGTAGAGATTCGCCATTCGACTTCATTTTCTGCTAGTATGTATGTTACCCGCGTATCGCAGGTAACTGATTTTTATGCCTCCTACTGTAATTTCTCCATCCCAATCGTCTAGTACTTCCCTCGATATATATTCAGAATACATGTTATATAATAATGGATACAGTAGGCAGCCCTGTCTAGTTCCTTTCTGTGTTTTGAACTCATTTGAATATGTTTGATATACTTTCGCCGAATTTTTATCATACACATTTCCTAAAAGGTTGACTAAGTGATTAGGCAGTAACATATTTTCCGTTATATTCCAGGGTGGATGCCATTTTACAAGTCGAAAGCCTTTGTGTAGTCTATGAAACATAGCAGCATTGGTATATTGTGTTTTCTCGCTTTTTCTATTATCTCTCTGGTGTTATATATCTGCACTACTATTCAGGCCATTTACTCATGACTTATTTCATGTTGCCTCATTCCAGTATTACATAGCTTTTAGAGCCTCTGCTGGTATGCTATTGATTCCTGGGTTTTTTGTATCTTAGTTCGTTAAGAGTCTTCTCTGCTTCTGCTCCTAAAATGATTGGTTCTGTCTCCGTGACTGTATGTTTCTTGAATTCTGAGACTGATGCATCTTTTAAGTGCCTTTGTATAATTCTAAGCAGTAATTTTTCCTGGTCTCTGCAATCCTTTCCATGTCGGTTTTTACTTCTCAACAGATCTATAGACCATATGGAAGTTTTAAAATCGAAAAAAGTATTAACAAGATGCCAAGAACGAAAAAAAAAATGAACGGCATTGAACAATTATTGTATATATATATATATATATATATATATATATATATATATATATATATATATATATATATATATATATATATATATATATAATAACAATTTTAAAATACTGCAGAGCTACATTGTTGGAATGAAAGGCTATTAGGTATATTTAATTTTTAAAGAAAATGAGCTATACAAATATTGGTGAACAACATCAACAAAAAATTTTACAACAGATTTGTGAAAATTTAACAAATGGGTTAGTTCTCGATAGTAATTCAACACAATCGACTAATTTAAACTAATTTAATAAAAGTATTTATTTTTAATAGGTTTAATGAATCAAGTCTTATCGTTGCCGATTTTCCAAAGGTTGGTAAGGCTATCCTACAGTTTTTACTTGACTCATTTGATAGTTATATGGTACTTTGTTGGATCAAAGAGAAGTGCTGTCTTTTACACTAACATAAATACAGTAAGTATTCAGAAATGTTTATTATATTTTTCTATAGTATAGTACATGTTTTGAAACCATTCATTTAGATTTTTAACCTTTACAACAAATTTAGTTATTACGAAGCAAGTAAATAGATTATTGACATCAATAAATGTTAAATTGATTCAATAATTAATGTATCAACATTTGATTGTGATACGTGCATATATATATATATATATATATATATATATATATATATATATATATATATATATATATACAGGGTGGTCCTTAAGTAATTGTACAAAAATAAACCATAGATTTTATACTACCTATAAAATATTACGATTTAAACCAAATTGTTTTAATAAAATATTAATATTAAGAAAGATACAGGGTGTTAAGTGGAAATTTAAAATTTTTATTTTCGCTATAACTTTCATGTTTGTGAACATTTATGTATAAAAATTCATAACTGGGTACTATTGAACATTAGGAATTATAATTTTCCTACTTTAATATAGCTGATAGAGGGCGCCACACATTTTGCACTTAACTTGTTTGCTCTTTAAGTTACCGGTGTTTGTAATAAAAAATATTAAAGATACATTATTTTAACAAAAAAATGTATACTGGTTAATAACTTCAAAACTCAACAGTTTTTGAGATAATTCCATTTTACAAATCAACTACATAATTCGGATTTAATGAAATTACTCCAGGCAATGAAAAAAAAAAAATAGATAAAAACATTAATACTTCTGAATTTTGGTATACAGTGCCTTTAATAAAGTAATAGTTAATGAAATATTAAATAAAAATAAATATATCAGCAGGATAGTTAATATGTAGTAGGATTTGACAAAATAACAGAATAATTGGATTTTACATCAAACATTTTACGTTTTGTATTAAATGAAAGTCATAATCAAAATATATTATTTCCAAATGAAATTAAGAAATAGTTAAACTAAATAACATTAAACTTTTTTTCAAAGTAAGTTCTTTAATTCTTAAATTATGGTTTGGTACATTTGTAATTATTTTTTACGAACATACGAATTACCTTGTAATTTGAATGGTGAGATTTAGTTACATTTTTTATAAAATGATTTTATTGATTTATTGGAAGGATTGTCATCAAACTTAAGGGAAATATGTGGTGTATGCAAGATGGTACACCACCACATTATAGAGAAAGGGCAGTGAAAACATAATAAAATAAAACTTTCCTAAACGTTGGATTGTTCGTGGTAGTCATATTCCTTGGTCATGTGGTGAGATATTAATATAATTATTTAATTCATAAAAATCCCAAACGAATACTTTATTATTATATTATATTTATTATGTATATTTTATATTTATAATAATTATTATAAATACTGCCGCATTTTCTTTAGAAATAATGACGCTATTTAATATGAGACGATCTTTTATGAAATGTATTGACAAATGAATTAAAGAAAATTGTGGACATATCGAACACTTACTTTGAAAAAAAGTTTAATGTTATTTAGTTTAACTATTTCATAATTTGGTTTACAAATAAAATCTTTTGATTATGACTTTAATTTAATACAAAATGTAAAATGCTTGATGTAAAATCCAATTATTCTTTTATTTCTTTAGCAGGATAATTAATAATAGGAATATTCTTATATTCCTATTATTAATTATCCTGCTGATATATTCATTTTATTTAATATTTCGTTAAGTATTAACTTTATTAAAGGCACTTTATACCAAAATTCAGAGTGTTTGTCAATTTTTCATTCGTTGCATGGAGTAATTGCGTTACATCAGAATTATGTAGTTGATTTGTCAAATGCGATTATCTCGAAAACTGTTGGGTTTTGAAGTTATTAACAAGTATACCTTTTTTTGTTAAAATAATTTTTCTTTAATATTTTTCTCACAAACACCGGTAACTTAAAGAGCAAACAAGTTACGTGCAAATGTATGCCATATATGTAACATATGTGGCGGCCTCCATCAGCTTCATTAAAGTATGCATCAAATTATAATTCCTGAAGTTCAATAGTACCCAGTTATGAATTTTTATAAATATTACAACGTTTCTTTTGGTATTAGGTTGGGTATACCTAGCGTGTTTCATTTTATATATTAGAGATGTTACGTTTTAAAAGATTTTTTATTAATAAATTTATATATAACAATCTAATGTACCAACTAATATTATAAAAAACAAAAATTATACAAATTATAACCTAATCACAAATATAAACCTAACAAAGAGGTTTAAAATTATTCGAAGGTCCTTTTTGAAGGATGTCTTCTATGCGGATATCTCTGACTATACACTTTTGAAGCTAGTAAACAGTTTTTCAGATATTCTTTCAACACAAACGTCATATCAATCAATTTTTTTGTTAAAAAATTCGTATTTAAAATACAAAAATTTGTTACAAACGATGCAAATACAAAAATATTACTAGCTTTTGAGACACAAGTATATACATTTTAATAAATAATTTGACAGATAAATTTACCGTTTCGTTTGTTTCAAATTTATTCTTAGCATGAAGGTACATTAAAAAGTTATTTGACTGATCTTGCTCATAAATACAATTTAACTAACTACAAATTTAGTACAGGAAAGTTGCTAGGGTAGAAGAATTACTAGGGTATCTATATTTTAAAATTGGTTGTTTATTTAATTTAATATTTATTTATGTATATTGATTACATTTATTAGTATGGTAAATATTATTTTGTAACATGAGTTATCAAATTTAACTAAGTTTACTAGCACACATTTGAATTCAATTATTTAATTTAGTTTTGATTTTAATCTTGGATATTTTAATGTATGTATATTTTCAAAATCAGATTATAATTACTATTTTTGCGAAATAAAATGTTTTATAAGAAATCCACAACAACCTAAAAGCTATAGGTAGTTTTTTTTAATATCTAAAAAACGAATCATGCTAGGTAATATTAAAAGAAAGGTAATACTTTCTACAAAATGCAGTACTAATATGCAACGTGTTCTATTTAAAAAAATGAAAAAATATTGTACTTGAAAATAGTGATGACACTATATACCTATACATATACCTATCTGTCAAGGATGGCAAGTTTCCAAGTGACCTTAAAACGGGAGTAGTTAGTCCAATTTTCAAAAAGGGAGATCCATGTTTGCTTGATAATTAGAGACCAATCACCGTAACAAGTGTACTCTCTAACATTATCGAAAATTGTATTTACAGTAAAATGTAAAATTTTCTGAATAAATATGATATCTTAAATAAATGCCAGCATGGGTTTCTTCCTAATAAATCTACAGAAAGTGCTTCTATTTCATTATTTAATTATATCCACGCTGCTTTGGATCGAAAAAGGTATGTCGGTGCACTTTTTTTGACTTAACTAAGGCTTTTGACTCTATTGACATTGAAATTATACTGCATAAATTAGAAGTCCTTGGTTTTCGGGGTCATTTCTTGAACTGGTTAAGATCATACTTACAACATCGTAAATTCCTAATAAAAGTCGATAATAGGAAGTCATCTGTTTTTAATATTGATCAAGGTGTACCGCAAGGTTCCGTATTGGGACCCTTAATATTTCATTTATATGTCAATGATTTGACAAATTTTTTAACTGCTGACCATACAGTTCTTTATGCAGATGATTCAACAATTGTAGTTGACAGGTCTACTGAAGTCGAACTCATATCAAAAATGAACTTAGCACAGGAATTTACAACCTGGTGTAAAAGGAACTCTTTAATGGTAAAAGCAAAGAAAACTATTTGTATGCAGTTCTACTCGCGCTGTAAGCCATCCCATAGTTATAAAATCGCAGTTAGTTCTGATAAAATACCTTTTAGTGATACAACATTATTTCTTGGTAGTATTCTAGAAAGTAATATGACATGGGATAGAAATATCACTAAAGTCTGCAAAACAATGAATAAGGGTTACTATGCAATCCTTCAGTTGAAAATTCTATTTAACACCAATCAATTGATAAGTGTGTATTATGCATTGGTTTATTCGTATATGGCCTTTAATGTTGTCTTGTGGGGAAACTCTAGAAACTCTTCTAGAGATTTTATAACTTAAAAGAGAATTCTTAGATTGATATTCAATATTTATTGTCAATCTTAGATTGACAATCTTGTCGTAAATATTTTATTGAACACAGGCTCTTGACTTTTCATGCTTTATATATTTATAATGTATTATTCACGTCAAAACTAAATTTCAAAATTTTACCCTCAACTCTGACTTTCATAATTACCTGACAAGACAAGAGAGGTTGATAAGCGTGTGTAAATACCCCACAACTCTCTTTGAAACTAGTCCTGATTTTGCAGGATCTAAATTTTACAATTATTTGCCACTTAATATAAGAAATGAAAATAATATTCAAATATTCAGAAATAAATTAAAAGCATGCTTGATCCAATTATGCGTTTTAAACCTAAATGATTATTTTGACTTAATAAACGACTTCAGGGAATGAGGACCGACGAGTTCAGAGACGCTCTATATTGCATATCTTTTTTTTATTTTTATATTAATCTATATTTTATTGATTTTGTTTTATGTAATTGTCCTATACAACTTGTTGATCATGCTTTATGTACTATATGACTTGTCCTATATCACAATGTGATCTGATGGGATTAATAAAGAATATTCTATTCTATTCTATTCTATATATTGGATGGATAGATGTCAAAGAGAATCAATTATTTAGAATATTACTTACATTAGTAAAATATTTACATATCATTTAAAACTGAATTTTTTAAAAATTGTTAACTTTAGACCTATAAAACATTACACATCTTTATATTTTTAAAATATATAAAAAAATTCATATTTCATATAAAACTAGAAGCCTCCCTGTTATAGGAAATAATTGTTTAGAAGGGTGTGTAGCAATGATGTATTCTCTAGATAATACTATTCAATGTATATTCTGCATATATTTTTTGTAACTCAGTAAATGAATTAAAATTGTTAGCTAGCTTATTATCACAACGCGTGTCCATATGTTAGTAACAATATGTTAGTTTTATTAAGGACCTTGATTAGTTTTTGGTTTTATACAATAATTTTTATAATTATATAAATATAAAATTACCCAGCAACAACAAGAAATTAAGGAAATTCATTCTTTGATTCATTTAATGTCCCATATTTATTCTGAAAATACTGAAAACTTATATTCTATACGTTAAATGATATTTTAATATTATTTTTCAGATACATGACTTTCTGGGAGATTCGATATTTACATTTATTATATCAATCTTTTGGTGCTTGGCTTTCGAATCACCTTTCGTTGCACTTGGTCAATTGATGAGCAAGAGAAAAGGTGAGATGTTACTGCAAGTAACTTAAAAAAAGATGAAAATAGTTGATTTTTTTGTTGTTTATTATTTTACCAGAGAACACAATTCAAATAAATGAACTATTATATTCATCTGCAAAAAAAAACGTTTCCAAGTCTGTCTTGGGGTGGTTTTGTTTATTTTTTAATAAATAAGAAAATGTTGGGAAACAAGTGGTTTTCATAACTTCTTCATACTTTAAAAAAAGGTTGCACAAGGAAATAATTCGTTAGAAGATTGCCTTCTCATTAGTGTTCTAGTCATAGATAATATTCAACAATAAAAGCGCTAATATGAATATTTTTTGTATCTATTTTTGTTTCATATATTTTACATCGTAGCATGCTGTCGTAAGTTGATTTAAAATCTAGAAAGAGGCGGAAAATCCAGAAGATATGGAATATTCTAGACTTGTGTATGCATTTAGGCGATTTTATAATGAATTGGAGAATAAATAATATTCTGTACGTTGTGTTTAAGACAGTTACACTTTTATGATTTTAATTTTTACATTACAATAGATCGCCTTTTTTATATAGTAAATTTTTTCTTAAATTTTTTAATTTATTTTTTCGATTTCACTCTAACAATTTGACAAAAAACACTGCATACAGCCTCTCTATGTTGCAAAGTCTAATTAGTCTCCTAATAAAACCTCCGCAGATGACACAATGGGCGTGGAGCATCTAATCGCGTATTGTACTACGTCAGGATCACATTTCATCGCTCACATTCATACCGCAAGGTTATTTATGTTGACGAGGAGTCACATCGTAACCCTACTACATTAATTATCTCTTTTTAATGTCATTGTCTCCTTCTCCTAGTCAATGCCACACAGTTTAAGGCCAGTGTTGGATATTGTTCTTCTTCCATTCTCGTTACATGTCCTGAGCATAAAAGTGGTTTCAATTCTATTGTGTCTAAATGCCTCTTGTTCTTCTTATTTCTTAATTTGGGATGTGATGAAGTCTGGTATGTGTCCGTACCCGACACGCTCTTCTTATGTAAATAGTCCAGTTTTACCAATTCCAGTTTTTTCTTCTCTTTCATGGTCATTTGCTAAAATTCAGATTTGTACGTCAAATTGATTCTTCAACCCACATGTAGATTATCATTTTTGTTCGTAAACTAATTTTAGGAGATCAAAGTAATGAGTTTAGTATTTGCACCACATTTCAGCTCTGTTGTATTTTTTTATATCTCTAATCAAGAGTTATGAGTCTCCTTCTTCGTCATTTATTCTAAGATATTCCGTATTTCGTATCCTATCCTAGATTTTAAATAGAGTTGAAGATAAAAAAAAAACTTCCTTACCTCAAGCCTTTTTTGACAGATGCGTCTGAAATTTTAATCTTCTTTCTAACAGCACACTTTTATGTACATGTTCGATACATCGTTAATGTATGCATAACTCATGCCTGTCTTCGTCAATATTTCAAACAATCTTTTTAAGAGTACTTTATCATAGGCCTTTTATAAGTCAACGTACATTAAATGACTCTATAATTCGTTAAGTACAAATATATTATCAAAACAACTTATCTGCCAGCACGGAATCCACTTTGATTTTCTATTTCTTCATATTGGTTTTCAATTCGTTCTTTTACCAATCCAACGTACAACCTCTTCACTAAGCTAATAATGTTTATACCTCTGTAAGTTTTACATTTCTTTTTTATCTTCTTTTTTGCGGATAGAGCTTATACACGCCAACCTTCAATTTTCTGAAATATTTTCTTATTTGAATATACTCTTTCTCTTCAATGGCACTACAGCCCAAATAGAGCCTTGGCCTTCTTCAATCTATGCCTCCAACCTTGCCGGTCTTGCGCCGATCTTCTCCAGGTTCTCACCCCTAGCAAATTTTGCGCGTCGCTGCCACTTCATCCTCCCACCTTTTCCGAGTCTTTCCTTTTTTGGTCTTGCGCCCTGCATTTTACTGTCTAGAGCTCTTTTTGGCAAACTTTTAGTCAATATAAGGTTGAATGTTCGAATAATTAAACTTTGAGGGTATACAAGGCAACTATCGAACACGGTGATTAATTTAATCTTGCCCAAGTACTTTCAATCAATAGATCATCTTCAGGGGCATTTCGTCAATTGTGGACTATCCGACATAGTAGAATGTCATAAATTTAAAACTGGACATAACAATACAAAATACACTACACTAAGACAAACAAACACTTTAAAATTTATATGGCGAAGCTACATATTGTGAAGAATTCTGTCTCCGGCTTCTTCACAATATGTAGCTTCGCCATATAAATTTTAAAGTGTTTGTTTGTCTTAGTGTAGTGTATTTTGTATTGTTATGTCCAGTTTTAAATTTATGACATTCTACTATGTCGGATAGTCCACAATTGACGAAATGCCCCTGAAGATGATCTATTGATTGAAAGTACTTGGGCAAGATTAAATTAATCACCGTGTTCGATAGTTGCCTTGTATACCCTCAAAACTTTTAGTCTCCATCCTCACTATACGACCAGCCCATCGAAGTCTCGGAAGTTTAACGAAATCTGAGATCGGTGCCTCTTTAAACAATTGGTAAAGTTCATCGTTGTACCTGGATCTCCTCCATAATCTGTTTTTGTTAATAGGTCCAAATATCTTTCTTAGGACTTTTCTTTCAAAGACTTCCAGCTCTCATTTGTGTCTTCTGTCATGATCCATGTCTTGCATGCATAATATACTATTGTCCTGATAATAGATTTCTAGCGTGTGTTTTTTGAGCGGAACACAGGGCGGAGTGAAAAGTAAGCTTTGTTTTCCCTTACTATTCTTACTTGAATTTCTGGTTCTTCTGTTCCATCCATGTTTAATGTAACTCCCAGATACGTGAAACTTTCTACAGTTTCAATATCGTCCTCTAATTCAACTGTGCGTCTGTTTTCCCTAGCTCTTGACTGTGTTAGTTTATTCTGCCCCTATTTTTAATTGTGAATAAATTTCTGCCGCCTCTTCTGTTCTACGAGACATGATGTTTGAATAGACACTTATTAAAAATCTCGGCTAACAATTTTATTAGTGATATTGGTCTGAGATTTATTAATTTAATGGGGATGTTTCCAGGTCCTGTGGCTTTCCTCGTTTTTTTTGTAGGTTCCTGTAGGTTCGTCCTATCTCGTCCACACCGATTACTTTTACTTCGTCTTAATATATTGGATATGTTCTGAAGTCTCTGTAATTTTTTGTATTTTAATTATACTTTCTTTAATTATCTCAGATTTTTTTAACCACATCTTTTTCCATTGATATTTTATTTAAAACCCAAGCTGGATGTAGGCAGAGGGATAACAAGTTTGTCTCTTTTGATCTGAAATATCTGTGTTTTTTTACTTATTTCTTTCTTTATTGGCAGTGGCTAACTAATAGAAGTACTGAGAAACAAAGATATAGACAGACGAGACTTACGAATCATTATCAATCTATATTGGAATCAGAAGGCCAATATAAAGATAGAAGAACAAAAGTCCGAAAATATAGATATAAAGAGAGGAGTAAGACAGGGCTGTGTTCTGTCCCCATTACTGTTTAACGTGTACAGTGAAGCCATATTCCAGGCAGCGATAGCGGATCTGGGTGATGGAATCTCTGTAAACTGAAGAATAGTCAATAACATAAGATTCGCTGATGACACCGTTATAATGGCAGACATTCTGGAATCGCTATAAGAATTGGTAAATAGAATTAACAATTATTGCATTAGATACGGACTAAAAATAAATAAGAGAAAAACTAAATTTATGATTGTCTCAAAAACGCAACATGGAAATGAAAGATTAATGATAGAGCAAACCCAAATAGAAAAAGTAAAGACATACAAATATCTGGGAACCTGGGTTGATGACAAAAATGACCAAAGCAGAGAAATCAAAGTCCGAATTGAAACTGCAAGGCAAGCATGTGTGAAAATGAAGACAATGCTTACCAACAGAGACCTTCAGTTGCATCTCAGATTGAGGGTTCTAAGATGTTACATATTTTCTATCTACTGTACGGAATGGAAGCTTGGACATTGAAGAAACAACACATAAGAAAAATAGAAGCGTTCGAAATATGGTGTTACAGAAGAATATTAAAAATTTAGTGGATTCAAAGGATTACCAATACTGAGGTAGTACGACGTCTAAATAAGGAGTTAGAAATAATGAACAGCACACAAAGAAGAAAACTAGAGTATTTGGGTCACATAACCAGAGGAGAAAAATATTAGCTGCTGTGAATTATTATGCAAGGAAGGATCCAAGGAAGAAGAAGCATAGGAAGAAGACGCATCTCCTGGCTGAGGAACCTTAGAGAATAGTTTAACTGTAGTTCACTACAACTTTTCAGAGCAGAGCCAACAAAGTGACCATAGCCGTTATGATATCCAACCTCCGATAGGAGATGGAACTTTAAGAAGAAGACCTGTAACAGCAGTGTCTATCTTTTTAGTGTGATTTTGGATATATATTCCTAAATCTACCACTTAACAGTTTCTGCGTAATGCATGCCGGCAGCAAGGGAATGCAATTGCGCCCCTGTCCGGAAAGAAAGTACATAGAAATACATGTATAGTTTTATATTTTATAGTGATAATAGTATGTGTAGATGCAGATGCACTTTCATGAAAATAATGCTAGCGGCACCCAAGTGCGTAGTGAAAGATGTACAAAATGGTAAACATATTTTTTGCCACTGCATTGTAATAGTTTTAGGATTTTTTCTTAAAATACGTGGTCTAAAACGTGGATATAAAAAAATATTTTTCAAGTCTCAAAGTAAAAACATCTAGGAAACCAAATATCATCATCATTATCGATTTACAACTCTGCGTGGGTCCTAGCCTCCTTAAGAATTTCTCTCTAGTCGTCTCTACCATAGCCTTCCTCTGTCAAACACGTAGGTATTCCCATACTTCTCATGTCTTTATCGATGTTATCACTTATTCTGTCGATGTCCTAACGATATCCGAAAAAGAGCTAGTAATATATAATTCTATTTTGCTTTCTTATTATTTGTTACATTTGTTGGCTTCTTTTTTTGTCATGTTTTCTTGTCGTTGGTTTCGTGTTTAAAAAATTGTTCGGCGATCGACTGAAAGTTCAAGGTTTTTTTTTGGAATTATCTACTGCAGTTGTCTGCTTTGGTCTTTTTTATTGGAAAATAAATAGAAAATTTACCAGCAATGAAAACAATTATAATTAAGTACTTTTTTTTAAATCAATATGTTGTTGTTTCTAGGAAAACCATCACATGCATCATCAGACATGGATCTAATATTGCCATTAAAGAAGAAAAAAGAAATTATGTAGACAAAATAAAACTTTAGGTAAAAATTATTGTTAGTACAAAGTTTATTGTTGAAGTGTTTATATATAAAAATGTAAACTTGGTAAAAATGTTGTTTTTTTTCTTTCTACCAATTCAACTAAATTACACCATATACAATTAAAAAAAAAAACAAGTCATATATATCAACAATTAACCAGATTCATTCAATAAGACAGATCCTCGAGAAAACATTACAATTTAACATTAAAACCCATCACTTATTCGTTGACTTCAAGGCTGCATACGACAAAGAGAACAATACTATACCAACTAATACGTCAGTTCGCTATACCAGAAAAACTTATCCGATTAACGAGAATGACAATGTCTAACTTAAAAGCCAGCGTTAGGATACAGGAAGAGAATTATCTATCCTTTTGCCCTGGTTTTCTTCCTATTTAACATTGCTTTGGAAAAGGCAGTCCGAGACACACGAATTAGAGATGGTTGTACTATTTACAATAGATCGATGACATTGACATAATAGGGCATAGCAAGCGGGATGTAATAGAAAATATTAACATGCCCACGGTAGCTCTCAATAGTTAATAACACAAATAGCTCTCACGCAAATAACAGATTAGGAAAAAATGTAAAATTTCTCTGGAGTCGCTATATAATGCATAGTCTGTGATCATGTCTACTCATTAAAGAAATTACTGGAATTCCACCAGTTACTGTCATTGATACCAATAGGTTTGATATTTCAAAAACATAGTACTTACTGATCCTGAACTTTACAAACCAGGTCCCATATATTTGCTTATTGGAAATTGATGTTAAATGGTCAAATACGTTTAGGATCAGATCAGCCAGTTTTACAGAAAACTTTTTTGGATAGATAATTTCTGGAAACATTGCAGAAAATTCAAGTGAATCCCACTACAATCTATCTTTAACTTGTAATATTCCAAATTAACTAGAGAAATTCTGGTTATTAGAAGAATGTGTTGTAAAACCTGCTTGTTGATTTTTATTATTAGAACGAATACTTAAGTGAAATTCAGATTTAAGTGAAAATGTGTTGATTTTATTAATGACTACAAAGCGTTTGGCCATATGATCAAAGTAAATAAATTAAATACATCTGAGATTCACTATTACTTGCTACACCATGGAGTTCTTCGGGAGGAAACGATGTATGAAAATCGAAATCGAAAGCTTCGTGATGTTTTCGATGCTTTGTCTGCCACGAGCAGAGCTTTATCACTTAATGACCTCCGAATGGTAGGCCCACAGAGTTCTGTTAATTATTAAAAAATTAAATCTGCACTCAACTCCCTCTAAACTACCTTTTGAAATGGTACTAGCAAAATGGTCGTTTTCAGGGCCAACAATTTTGACGATCTTAATTAATATTTAGGGAATATTTGACGATAAGAAAGTTTTGTTACCTGACATTTAAGTACGTAACCTATTTAAACAATGGATAAACTCATAAAGCTATTTAAAATAGACAGTACTCAACAACTAAATTGTTTAAATTGTCGCACCATCTTTTTCTTGATCTGCCAATACTTCGTCTATTTGGTGACTTATCTCGTGCTATTCGTACTATTCTATCCTCTGCCATTCTACTGATGTGTTCGTTCCACTCCTGTTTTTGTTTTGTCACCCATCCATTTACGTCTTCTATATTGCATGCTCTTTTTATGTTTTTACTTCTCTCCCTATCCAACCGACTTTTCCCTGATCTTTGTCGGAGTATTTTCATCTCTGTTGTTTCTAGTAGTCGCTTCGTTTTAGATGTGTCTGGTCTTGTCTCCGCCGTGTATGTTTATATAAGTCTAACTCTGCCAGGGGCTTATGAGTGCGATGACTGGGTGGATTGAGTAGCTCAGGTGCCGCGTTCGTACCCACAGCCGGTCCCAAGCTCGGATAAAAGAGGAGGGTTGATGGGCCAGGCTAGCATCCTACCCATTGTAAAAGAAAACAAGGCTCAAAGAACCGATATAAAGTCTCGGAACCAGATGGAACAAAAATATTCAATGACATATATTTAAACAGAGTAATGAAAAAAATTCAAACCTTGGATGCGCTCAACGAATGAACTTGACTTTGAAAAATGTATCACCAGTAACTTACTCAGAAATACAACAAGAGAAGACGTAAATAACCGTAACGAAGAAATAGTAGATATCATTAACAAGCTCAGAAAAAATGTGGCTCTAAACATGGAAAAGAACAAAAAATTAGTAAAGAAACGAAACAAAAAATGGAAGATCGTAGAATGCTGAGAAGCCAAGGAAATGTTGACTCACAAGATATAAACAGCATCAATAAAGAAATCTCTAAAGCCATCAGACGGGAAATTAGAAAATACAATAGCGAGAAAATTATAAAAACTATAGAAGACAACAAAAGCATGAAAGCATTGAGGAGAAAAATGGAAAATGGCAAAAAAGAAATCTTTCAACTTAAAGACAAAAATGGAAATATTATCTCAGATAGACCAAGAATATTACATATAGTGGAAAGTTTCGATGTACATAATGTAGGACCGGAGGATATACCAGATATATCACGAGAGAAAATTCAACATGCCCTCAAAAATATGAAAAATAATAGAGCTCTGGGGAAGATGGTGTAGTCATTGGGACAATTAAACTAGGAGGTCCACTTTTGATGTCCCAAATCCAAACACTTTTTAATCTATGTCTGCATAGTGAAAACATTCCAAGTAAATGGAAGAATTTATAACAAAACCACCTATACAAGCTCTTTACTCGAATACTGACAAACAGATTAGAAGCAAAACTCGATTTCTATCAATCAGAAGAACAGGCAGGATTTCGAGCGGGATACGGAACAAACGACCATTTGCAATGCCTTAAAACTCTAGTTGAAAAGTCTATCGAATATAACAGACCCCTTGCTCTTATCTTTGTCGACTTCCACAAAACATTTGACACAGTCGAAAGAGTTGCTATCTTAAAAGCACTATCAGAATGCAGAATAGATCACAGGTATGCAAATATTATTCGAAATATACGAAAATGCGACAACCGTTAACCTCCATTGCATGACTGAGAAGATAAAAATTGGCGGAGGGGTGCGGCAGGGAGATAACTTGTCGCCAAAACTATTTATAAGAGTTATGGAGTACGCATTTAAACGGCTAGAGTGGGAATCAAAGGGTATTAGCATCGATGGAAAGATATTCAATCGTCTCAGATATGCCGATGATATTGTTCTCATAACAGACAACTTAGGAGAAGCCAGAGTTATGCTACAACAACTACAGCAAGTAACCCAGAAAGTCGGTTTAAAATTAAACTATGGAAAAATAAAAATGATGACCAATCTCGTCCCCAATGAGCTAATAGAAATCGAAAAGTCGCCCATAGAACTTGTGAAAAAATATGTGTATTTGGGTCACGAAATAAGGTTAATGCGAGATAACCAAACATGCGAGCTTCTCAGAAGAATAAGTCTGGGTTGGGCTGCATTCGGAAAAATGAGAGACGTATTTAAAACAAATATACCGATCCATTTAAAAAGAAAAGCTTTTAACCAGTGCGTTCTACCAGTCCTCACATACGGAGCAGAAACCTTAACTCACAAAAACATCAGCCGAAAAATTGAGAAGGACACAACGAAAGATGGAGAGATCAATGCTTGGAATAAGCTTAAGAAATAGAATAAGAAACGAGGAAGTTCGTAGACGAACCGGAGTGGAAGACATTATCGAACATATTACAAGGCAAAAATGGAGATGGGCAGGATATGTTGCAAGAACGAAAGACGACAGTTGGACAAAAAATTGCTGGAGTGGAGACCACGGGCTGACAAGCGAAGCCGAGGAAGACCCCCAACGCGATGGACCGACGACCTCAAAAGAATCGTGACCAATTAGATAGCAGAGGTGCAGAACAGAAGCAGATGGAAAAGTCTAGAGGAGGCCTATGTTCAACAATGGACAACTCAGGGCTGATTGATGATGATGATGAATACCAAAATCATGGCTGAAGTCAACGTTTATTGCTCTACCAAAGAAAACAAAATCACTTATCTTGCAACGATTTCTAGACTGTCAGCTTGGTGAGCCACATTTTAAATTTATTGCTAAAAATCGTGCATTAAAGGATATTATAGACTATGCGAAGAAAAAAATACGATATTATATGTAGTAGAAAAAAGTACGAAGTTGAGTCGTGGACTCTCACATACGCTACCTGCAAGAAAATTAAAGTTTTCGAAATGCGATTTTATCGTCGAATGCTGAAGATATCCTATACCGACCACGTTACTAACCAGGACCTTTTATTAAGAATGCAAAAAGGAAAAGAGTTGTTAACCACAATAAAAGCAGCCAAAATCGAATACCTCGGTCACATCATTAGGTACAGCGAAAGATATGGGTTACTGCAATTAATTCTACAAAGAAAACGTGAACCAGAAAGGCGAAGGATTTCCTGGCTGAAAAATGTACGTACGTGGTTCAACACAACAACCACAAATTTTTTCAGAGTAGTATTAATAGTAGTATGATGGTCGTCAACTACCACAACACCAACGTCGTAGTCGGCCATTTTATTTGTAAAAGTATTAAATACGGCTATCTTGGAGACTGGTGACAGTGGTGGATGACTGAAGCTGTGGGAAGATAAAGGACAGCTACGACTGATATACTCTGCCAAAGTTCCTTTCTCTTTTAAGAGGTGCTAAGAATAAGGGAGAATACAATACCGATATTTTTATATGAAATAAAATAGCTCAATATAAAAAGCATATTGGAGATGCAATTCCTCGTACCCAACACAAATAAGTCATGTGCACTGTGAAAGCTATATTAAAAACGCAATATTAAAAGATTCATTTTCAAAATGCTCCGGAAAACTTCGCATTAGACATTGATAACGAGATTGGTAAAATTGGTACAACCTCTTGTAACACCTGAACATGGCGCAGACTAGTTGACTGGCTTGGATACCAATGAAGAATTTTAGGCAAGCCTCTAATGAAAGAACTAACAATTTATGAAATATCTTAGTAAATTAAGTGTCCTCCCAACTACATAAAATTGTTAGCATCTGGAAGTAGAAACAAAGAAAAACTCACAATGAAAGAGGATGGAACCAATCAGCTGAAAAAACGTTTCGTTGATGTTTAAATAAGATCCTCCTTCCACATAATGAAACATAACAGAGTTTATGTTATTTACGAGCTGCTTATAGAGCTAATCAAAAAGATGAACCGAAAACAGCATTGTTTTCCCAAACATTCCCTTGTTTAAACCTGTCAAAGATCCCAATGACCGAAAACGCTATCGGCCGGTATCTTTGTTTTGTCACTTCTTCAAACTGCTTGAACTCATGACCTTCAACAGAATTTCGCCAAGAAAAAAAAAACGAAAACCACATAGAGGTTTCAGACCGAAAATATCTTTTACGTCACAAATAATAAATCTCATTAAACACATTAAAAGTGGATACGAAAAATACCAGGTATCCGGGTTAGTATTTGTAGATTTTACCTCTACTTGCGATTCCGTAAACCACAAAAACTTCCAACAACTGTATGTAATCATAGGAAGGAGAGAGGGAGTAAACTAATTTGTCTTGTCTAAAGAACAGATATTTTTTGCCTCTAATGGGAAGAATAACATATGTAGAACATATACGAGCAAAGGCTTCGCTCAGGGCAATGTAATAGCACCTACACTGTACAACATATAAACTAACAACCAAAAGCAAAAACTTTTTTGTAAAAACTAGTCACTTTCAACTTCATAATTAGAGGCGCATCTAGAAAACTGAATATTCAATGGTATGGAGAAGCCCTTGACCTCCTGTGTTTCCCTTAAATACATTAGGATTACCGTGGATTTCAAGTTCAAGTCACTGAAATAAACAACCAGAAATAACACAACCTTTCAATCTTAGAGTACTGGCAATTCCACTCCGCCTTTACATATGTTGCATCAATATGGGCAGCAGTAGTACACATAGATGTGGCTATCAACGAGTCAATAAGAATCATTTGTGGATGCTTGTGACCCACACCCATCACTACGCGCTACCCTATCGTTGGTACCCCACCAACTAATATCCGAAGAGAAGTTAATAGAGATGTGGAACGAAAGATACAAATTGAAGACCTTAGACGTTTACTCTATGATCACCAGTCCACAGCACAAAGCCTTAAATTAAGGAAAAGTTTTCTAGATAGATCAACACATCAACAATATCCACCAGAAAGGTGAATAACCTGCTACTTGGAGTGCTCAAGTGAAAAACCAAGCAGGAGAAACCTGGCGACTCAAGATATTCAATGCGAGTGCGGCGCACTGTAAGATTCAGCACATCTAAGTATCTGCCACTCTCCCTATCTATATAAGTCCAGTGATGGAATTTAATTAATAAATGGTAAATATTTGTGTAACGAATTGTTAAAGCCAAGGAATACAAGTGAGAATGTTAATCAGTAGTAACATACGTTACGAGAAAAATTGCTTATTAATCAATGCTGATCAGATGTAATGTTAATAAAGATCTTAGGAGTAGTTTATAATAATAATATAAAATGTTGAAGAGAAGGTTCTTTCAGCATTATAGCCTTAACATATTTTCTTGCATTCAATGCCTGAGTGACTTTTACATTAATGGAGAACAATAATAAAGGTAGTAGAAATAAAATACTCTTATATATGAAATAAAATTATATTTATGATCAAATCCGCCATGTTAACAAAATAGTCAAACATTGATCCATGTGAATGACTTTCACAAAAATAAAACACTTATATTTATCAGAAAATCCTACCATTTACAAAATTTTAAATCATAATATTACAACATAATTTTTCAAAAATAAATAACGTCTACAATATAAAAAATCTAAAAATAATTATTATTAAAATAACATGGAAAACGATAATGTTATGGTCAACAACGATATTCCGCCTCGATTATATATAAAGACGAAAATCTAAGCAGTTAGTTCATAATGCAAAAGCAAAAAAGTAACCTTGATACAAATGACGGTTGGATCTACTAGATATATTTACCATTCAACTTCAATTACGATAGGTGCATACTAATCATTATTTGCATTATGAAACACGCATATATTTTGTACTAATGTTAACAGTAACTGTGTTGTTAACATCAAGACAAACGGTAACCATTTGGTACAGATTTATCAATTAAAACTGTTTTTACAAAAAGACTAAGTGTATAAAAAATAATTTTTAGGCACCAAAAGATTTTTGAGGTATTAGTTAAGCCTACAATCACAGCTTTGGAACACTATATGAGAATAATACACTATAAATTTCGTTGCAGAAGACGGAAACATTAATAGTTTTTCCTATTTACTATTCTTTTCATAGACGATCATACAGCTGCGATGCCACAGATACACAAACAGCTTTGTAATAATATAAACAAAGAAATAAAAACATCAGATTATTGAAACATCAATATAGTTAACACTATATTGATGTTTCAATATAGTGTTAGCTATATAAAGTGATAATTAGTTTCATCTCCTCGAAAATTTGGATCCTAAAAAACTAAATCTTACACACTGAGCCGATTGCGTAAAGGTGCCACGGTAAGTGCTTAGACCTCTATCGGTCAATAATTACAAGATTTTACCTAGTTAAATGCTATTCTCTAATTATCATTGTTATATTGTTCAGGTAGAACGTATGAAATGTCATCCCATGGGTGCCTGTACAATCCTTGTTTGAGTCTCTTTTGGTCCATGTAGTGGCCGATGAAACCGATGGATCTACCAAGGACGAATAATGAGTTGATAGCACCAATGTCGATGTATTCTTGGGCTTCTTCCCTTGTGAAGACACCACAGTTCCTTAACATATCTACAAAGGAGCATGCAATGACACCGTCGACGTTAAGGATGAGGTTGGGTTTCTTGCTGGTGGTGATTTTTTCTACTTCTAGGGCGTATTGAAGTAAAGGAGTGGCGGGGAAGTTAGCCATGACGAACTCTTTGACTATTTTTACTCTCTGGTCGGGGTTGTTAATAGATTTGACTCTGTGGCCAATACCCATGATGAGCTGACCTTTATTCCTCATGTGGTTAACGAATTCGGCAGGATGCATACCTGAAAATAAAATTAGTGTTACTTATTTCCTAATATAACTAGAATTGTTAATTTAACATGGGAACTACGTCCTATTTTTCAAGGTTATTTATATATTCATTAGTACATTCTAGCTGCAATTAAAATAATAAATAATTTTGATTAAAAACTCTTGTTTTTATTTTGGCTTTCTTCAGCTAGTCACGCACTGGAAGCTATAGTATAAGATGTATTATACCACTAAAGCCTTAAATCGGACAAGATCAGACACAAGGCCTAATATAAGAAGAAACAAGTCTAAGATAAAATAAATTTCAGCATATTTTTTTAAAAATAGTAGTCACATAGTGAGTAATTTCAACTGATAGAGGGATATTGACGTTTCAATTTCCACTTCGGAAATCGTTCTCAAAATAAAAAACAGTAGTCGGTGACATAGTACTGTGGAAAATGTTTTATACGCTGCATTTAGAAGTATAATTCCTCTGTGGTTAGAGCATTCAAAGATATCCCTTTTTTTTGTATGATGCAAAGTATTCCAATCATTGAGGAGGGATTTATGTGCCCACATTTCTTTTATAAGCTGCTGTAATGCCAATATGATATCGTGGCCAACTTTTTTATATAGTTCATCTAGAAGATTATCTATTCCGGGTGATTTGTTTCTGGCTAGTTTTTTAACTGCATCTTGAACTTCAAGAATCGTTGGTGGTTCCTCTTCCCTCTCGTCTGTTCCCCTTTTCCACTGTATTTTATCAGTCCATGATATTTTTAATACTCTGCGGCATAACCAGAGTTTAAAAACCCCATTCTTTTTAAATTACTTTTTTTAATGTACAAGTCTCAGTTCCATATAATAATATTGAAAATATATAACATCGAATAGTACCTAATCTGATCTATAAATTAAGATTTCTGCACGTTAGGAGTAACTTCATTCATATAAATGCTCACCTGACAATCTCTCTTCGCCTGTTTATTTCTGCAGTATGACCATTAGTTTCATTGATCAAAGTTCTCAAGTACTGATATTTTCTTGTAAGCAAATAGTAGTAACGTTGAGATATTGATTCGTTTTTCTTTATTCTCCAACAGATGATTTACATATTTTTGTTTGCATTTATATTACGAGTAGTCAGAAACAGCATACTTTGTAACTTTCTAGAGTTTTCTTTTTTATCTTTATGCTCATTTGTACGTCACATCTAACTTTAGTATGTAAATATTGGTTCAAACTTATCAGTTTAGTACAAATTTCGTGAATATCCACCAAAATCCATTTTAATAAAAAACGTAGGAAGTGGTGGAACTAGTATTCAACATCGTCATATGACTATCCTGATATTTGAGAGAAAACGTGGCTCACAGATTAATTAGAATGCATGAAAAATTAATGGTTTCATGCCGAATATATTGAAAAATAGTAAATGAATTTTGGAATGTTAAAAAAGTGTTAAGAGTTATCCGTGTCAAATTTCACGTTTACTTACAATAAGTGTCGAAGTCGAAAGTAGCAACCTCGTGAATTATCAGTATGAGTCAGCGTAATTTTCCACTTTTTCCATGTAAATTAACAATGTCATGGATGTAAAGATAGTTCTGCTTCTAACGATGCACCGTGAGTAGAGCCAGTCTAATCAACACAAGAAACAATCTCTCTAAGTATCAAAGGCTAGATTGAATAATTTAAGAATCACTAAACCCAATTTTCAACGAAGTATAATTTTTGAACGAATTTATTACAAAGCTAAGTTAAAAAACTAATGAAACAAAAACCTGACCTACAATTAAATATTCAGAACGCCTGGGTAAAACGTCAAGAAACTTCTTACTCTGAATTAGTAGTAGTCTAATGCTGGGAGAAATCGAAAGGGAAATCGGAAAATATTCAAATATTAGGAAGAGTTACAAGGAGTGAGATATTCAAAAACACTTCTGAAGAAATAGAACTGTAAAAGTTGATGTGATGAAAAAGATTATTTAGATTGTTGTATATTATAAATGTAGCTAGCAATGACGTTGGCCTAAAAATGAACTTGACAAAAACAAAAACCTTGTACAACGAGCTAGTTGATGTCCAAGATGTAATAATAAATAACAGTACACTTGAGACAGTAGACGAATATGTATACCTAGAACAGTTAATAGATAAATATGGCTCCTTACTTCCAGAAATCAATACAAGAATGAAACAGGCTTAGGCATCTTTTGGTAGAAATGCAGTTATATTCAAATCGAAGTTGCCAATCCACATTCGATCGAAAAAGCATTCGATCAGTATATACTACCAATCATGGCATAGGGCTGAGAAACTTGGACACTACAGAAAGATAATATCGAAACTCACAGTAGCTCAAAGGTCAATGAAGCGATGCATGCTAGGTATAACAAAAAGAGATCAGACAGAAAACCAAGGTTACTGATGTAATCCATAGAATTAAATCTTTAAAATGACAAAGGACATAGGTAGTCCACTAGAATTATACTGTGGTATCCAAGAGGCGTCAAGAGACCAAGAAGACGTCCAAATTTAAAATGGGACTTTGACGTAAGGAAACCAGCCGGTACAACATGGCACATAATAGCAAATTTTAGACAATCGTGAGCAGAAATGAAGAATGACTGTGTAAGGGAGGCTGCACCATAATCGGCAGAATATGTTGAGAATGATTATGATGATGATATTATAAAGATCAATCAAAAGTACATTAGTATTAAATAATATAACATATTAATATTGGATAAATGTTTAACTGTTTTGCACTTCATACACTGTTACAATTAATTGAAAATCAGAATAAATGTAGACTTTGTGAAATGTCCACCTTTAAATACCTAACACTGAAAAGAACTTGCACCTACTCACCTAAAGATTCTATTAGTTTGAACAAAAAAAAAGAATATATAATTTTAAAAGGGATACTTTCAGAATATAACAGGAATCGCCAGAGCATTGTTGATTGAGAAGGCACCTGAAGATAATGAAGGTAGTAGACATCACAGAATGCAGATTCCGAGAGAATGAAATACACTTTCAAAGTACTGTTACTTAAGGAACTCCCGAGCATGTTATCTGGGAACACATCAGATAGAAGAAGAGGATTTACCCAAAATCAAGCCATTCAATATACTAAAAACTTGGGAGGAATACTACTGTGCACACTCATTCAATAACTTATAAACCAAGGCAAGAAAAGTTGGGCACAATAGATCTTATAGATAATAGTGTTACTTCTCTCCTTAAAGAATAATAACAACAATAAAATTGTCATGTTTTCATGTTTGACCAAGTAGTTATAGTTCAATTGCTTTTGGATTTGAATTAAAAGTAAAAGACTATCGTATCAATTATCACTTACCTTTGTCATACGCTTCACTGAACATCTTAGCTGCACCGTCCAAAGCTCCACCGAACCTGTCACCGATCGTGAGAAGACCGGATACCAAACTGGAAACTAGATCTTTACCAGCACGGGCACAGACTATGGTGTTGTGAGCTCCTGATACTGCAGGTCCATGATCGGCTGTCACCATCAAACACATCTCGAAGAATTTGCAGACGTATGGAGGTAAGCATCGTTGGAACCACAAAAGCGATATGACTCCGCCGATGCCAACATTCTTTTGAAGGACGTCAGAAATGGGCATACCTAGAAAGCAAAATAAAAATGCAATAAACGAAAAATATTGGCATGTGTATATGTTTCTAAATATCCGGGTACCATCGTTCATTATCAAACAAAATATATCCCTACGGGTTGTATTTGTAAACATTATATAAGTATTATGTAGATATATCTACAAGATAATTTAACTGATCTTCTTCTTCTTGTAGTTCCTTCTCCTAGCGGAGGTTGGCTATCATCCCAGCTATCCGTACCTTATTGGCGGCTGCTCTAAAACGATCTACTAAGCTGCAACTATACAACTCTCTTAGGTTTCTCAGCCAGGAAATTCTTCGTCTTCCTATGGATCTTTTACCTCTGATTTAACTTGCATTATGAGCAATCTAACTGAGAAGCAATCTAAAATAGATTATAATGGCTTCTTTGTCATAACAAATCCTATTTGTGATTTTGTAATTGGAGATTCTTGGATATTCTTGAAAATAATACATGGTCGTATAAATAAAAAATTGGAAGAAGGAACAGATGATAGTTAGTTCAGAGTTCAGAAACGGACTACGAACCAGAGAAGAGTTATTTGCTTTTAATGTGTTAGCTCAAAGATGCATGGATATGAATGTTGACGAGCATGCTTGTTACGTTGATTTTGAAAAAGCATTTGACAAAGTAAGACCTGAAAAATTAGTCCAAATTCTAAAGACAAGAAACATATGCCATAGAGACTTACGAATAATAAACCTCTACTGGAATCAAATTGCACAAATCGTAATAGATAATGAACCCAGTCCAGGAATTGAAATCAGGAGAGGAGTTAGGCAGGAATATATTATGTCACCATTACTATTTAATGTATATAATGAAGCCATTTTTGAAGAAGCATTACTATCTCAAAGTGAAGGAATATAAATTAACGGAAGATCTATTAAGAACATAAGATATGCAGATAACATCGTGATTATGGCAAGTTCTGCTGAACAACTCAAATTACTGTTAAACAAAACAAACAAGCAGTTTCTGTGAAATATATGGACTAAAAATGAATATAACAAAGACCTAAAAGAAAACATAAAAATGAATATAACAAAGACCAAATACATGATGATAACAAAGAAAACAAATATACCAACAAACATACATTTGGGAAATGTACCGATAGAAAGGGTTGATAAATACAAATACCTAGGAACCTGAATTTCAGATAATAATAATCAAAAAACCGAAATAAGCAATTTCCTGCAACAAAGACCTTGAGATTAGAACTGAGAGCACTGAGATGCTGTGTGTTTTCGATACTGCAATATGGACTTGAAAGCTGGACATTGAAGCAAGAACATATAAATAAGTTACAGTCCTTTGAAATGTGGTGTTACAGGAGGATGCTTAGAATATCATGAACACAGAAGAAAACTAACACGGAAGGATTGCGAGAAATGGGCAAATAATGCTAAATAATAAACATAATAAAAATAAGAAAGTTACAATATCTGGGACACGTAATGAGGGAGGGGACAGTGATATGAGTTGCTAAGGCTGATAATACAGGGAAAGATAAAAGAAGGATAGAGTATAGGAAGAAGAAGAGTGTCATGGTTGAAGAATTTGAGGGACTGGTTCAAATGCAGTTCTATAGAACTCTTCAGAGCAGCAGTAGATAGAGTAAAGTGAGAGCGCCCACCAAACTGGCGTGGCACGTGGCACGTAGCAAGTAGCAAGCGTCTAGTATGTTACTTAAAATGTAACCAATGAAAACGAATGATTCGGCGCACAATAAAATGACAGTGGCGTCATTCGATCTAATCATTCGTTCGCATTGATTACATTTTAGGTAACATGCTAGACGCGTGCTACTTGCTACATGTAACGTGCCACGTCACTTTGGTGGGCGCTCTCCCAAAGATAGTGATGATGATATCCAACCTCCGATTGGGAGACGACACTTGAAGAAGAAGAATTGGAGTTTTTTCTGGAACTTAAGAGTAACACTGCTTAAAAAAATCATACTTAGCAGTAACAAACACCTCGCAGATATGCCATTGAATTAATGCCGGCAAAACAATCCTGAACCTTAATCCCTGTATCTCGAGGCAAAAATGCGTCATTTCGCGCGCCCTATCATAAACGATGATTAGTGTACCTTTATATGTGTTCTAATATATTTATTATAATATTAAATGATAAAATACCTGCATATATGAGTTCTTGTCCTCTTTCATCACAGATGGAAGTCATGAAGCTGGCGGGTTTTCTAATAAGTCCCAACTCACGAGCCCAACTGTAGTCCATTGGCACGGTTGGTGGAGGAACTTCTGGTTTTGGTACTATCACGCCTTGTTTTACAAGCTGCTCGTATACTTTGCCAACAATATCACCTAAGATCAAATAAATGTTAGTAATAACGAAACCTATGATATGTTAAATAAATTTACCTAAGTAATCGAAAGAATCAGGTACGTGGGCACCGGCTGCCTTTAGAGCTTCGTTCTTAGCTGTGGCAGTTTCTTGGTTTGAGTTAGCGCAAGATCCTGCATGGCCGAATTGAACTTCTGAAGTGAACATTCCAGCGCAAGTTCCTAAAATTATACATACAATAATTTTCCTATTCACATTTATACTGTTAAACTTAATAAAAATGATATCAAAGAAAAAATAATGTAAGAATCTCAAAAGGCGAATAAAACTCTTATCTTTATAATAAGAGGACGAGGAAACGTTTTTTCCTTACAGATATTTGTCTATAAATGTGATTGTACATGCATTATTGTACTTATTATTTAACTGTAGCACTATTATTAATACGATTAAATAAACTTATGATATATCTACAAAAAGTCCTTTATATAAGAAACACTATTGAATACATACCTATACACCAAGCTACCAAAGGTTTTGTAATTTGTTTGGTTTGCAATGCTTTACACACTTGATATTCCTCAGTACCTCCTACTTCACCAAGAAGGATGATCATCTTAATATTATCATCAGCTTGATATCTACAAAAGTATATGTTATAATTCATATTTAATTGATATTGACATTGAGTAAAAGTGACTTACCTCATAATGTGATCCATAAAAGTAGTTCCAGGATATCTGTCTCCACCGATGGCTACACCTTCGTAGACACCGTCGGTTGCTTTGGATACGATGTTGTTTAATTCGTTCGACATACCACCAGATCTTGAGACGTAAGCTACACTACCTGGTCTGTACAATTTTGAGTGTAAGATGTTGTCCATCATACCTCCAGTGTTACCAATCTTAAAGCAACCTATAAAGAGTGATAATAAGTATATTAACTATGTAAACATGTATAGCATAATTATGGGGACCTTATACATATTATAGGGAGAGCAGATTCGTGCACCTGATTACCAATATCCATTATGGGATAGGCGGACTAAGAAAATATAAGTTGCGAAAGTTCAGGAGCTGGCGTCCGAATTAAATAAAATAGAACAGAAAGTAGGAGAAGGAAGATGTGAGTCTACTGTAGGACCATATGGACTCGGTGTTCAAAATGAGAGAGGAGAACGCCTTATAGAATTCTGCCTAGAAAATAATCTTGCGGTAATGAATACTTTCTTTAAACTGCCTAAACGACGCCTTTACATTTGGAAATCGCAGCTGACACAGGCCGATAAAATCGTTAGAAAACAAGTTGACTATATTTTAAGAAACCACAGATACAGAAAAGCAATACAATCGGTGAAAGCGTACCCAGATGCAGACGTGGCGTCGGACCACAATCCACTTGTAGCAAAATTCTAATTTCACTTAAAAACGATACAAAAAAGCTACAAAAGTAATAAACTAAACATACAAAAATTAAAATCAGAAGATGTCAAAGAAAAATTGAAACAAGAAGTTAATGCAAACCTAGAATCCACACCGGAATCAATTGATGGTGATGTAGAACAACAGTAGCAATTCTTTAAAAACGCAATTATCGAACCAAGTAGCAGATAACTCACATTAACCATATGCAAGAAAGGAGATTGGATGACAGAAGAAATCTTTTAAATGCTGGAAGAAGGCAAAAGAATATCAACATAACTCAGTATCAACAGCTGCATAATCAAATAAGAAGGAAAATAAGAGAAGCTAAAGAGACTTATTTCGCTGGAAATGCCAAGAAATACAAGACTTACAAAACAAATATGATAACTTCAATCTCTATAAGAAAGTTACAGAATCAGCTGGGGTAGCAAAACAAAAAACCTCAAGCATACTATTGGACAAACAAAGTAACATTTTAGTGCAGACTGAACACAAATTAGGAAGATGGAGAGAATATATAAAGAAATTAATCCATGATCAGAGACCGGAAAATATATATGAAGATAATCAGAGTAAAGACGAGGGGAACGAAATAACAAGTCAGAAGTTATGCATGCAGTAAAGTCCATGAAAAATAATAAAGCTGTGTTTTAGTCCAACTACTGAACAAAATCTATTTCACGGGAATCATTCCACGTGAAATGCTGACATCAACATTTATTTGTCTACCAAAGGAAGTACATGCCAAACAATATAGTGATTATCGAACGATCAGCCTAATGTCACATACCTTAAAAACCCTGCTAGCTAAAAACCATCCATAATAGAGTACACGGTAAGCTGGAGATGGATATTAGTGATTCCCAGTTTGGATTTCGGAATGGAGTGGGCACAAAAGAGGCACTATTTTCTTTTAAGGTGCTGACCAAAATATGTTTGGATGTTAATCGAGATCTTTATGTATGCTTTATATACTATAACAAGGGATTCGATAAGGTAAAACATGACCGACTTATAGAAGTACTCAACAGCAAGAATCTGGATGTGAGGAATGTAACATTGATATCAAATTTATACTACAGCCAACGATTAAATGTGAAAATTGGAAGAGAAGTGTCGGAAGTCGCCGTTATTGTTTAATGTTCATTCTGAATAAATCATACAAGAAGCTTTGGTAAACGAGACAGTGGGCATATAAGTGAACGGAAGTTTAATTAATAATATTAGGTATACGATTATACTGCAGAAATACGAGTCAGAATTGAAAAAAGCACGTGCCAATTTCGTGAGAATGAAAAAGATTGTATGCAGCAAAGATCTGACATTGGCCCTCAGAATAAGGTTAATTAAATGCTGTGTACACAGTGTACTCTACTATGTAGCTGAATCATGGATATTAAACCAGAATACAATAAATCGATTTGACGAGTTTGAAATATGGACATTTAGAAGATTGTTAAGGATTCCATGGGTAGATAGAGTCACGAATATTATTCAAGGAAAAATAGAGGGTAGGAGAAGCGAAGGAAGGAGACGCGTTTCCAGGTTGAAGAACCTGAAAGAGTGGTTTGGTTGCAGCTCAAGGCACTTGTTCAGAGCAGCTGCCTCGAAGGTCAGAATGGCCATGAAGATTGCCAACCTTCGTCGCGGAGATGGCACTTAAAGAAGAAGATGGACAACAGATGTTTTCTAACCTTCTGGGGAAGGTTATTTAACGTATACAGGAAAGAAAAGATAAGGTTTTTTTGAATATATTATTTCTATTATTAATTATACATACCTGGTTTAACTCCACCAACAGTGGCAGGTCCAATAATAGAAACCTTCTTCTCGTCAGCCAACTTGATCAACTTTCTGGTGTAGTTTTCTGGAATACCTTCAGCAATGATGGCAATCGTTCTGATTTGTGGATACTCCATGGTTTCCACGGTGCTAGAATAAGCTGAACGTAATGAAGCGAAGTTAACAAGGACGTCAGCGTCGGGATGTTTCGTCATCGCATCCTTCATTTGTTTATAGACCGGAATGAGTATTTCTTTGTGCCCCCAGTAGTATTTTTGCTTGTGGTCGCCAGTGAAGGGATAGATTATTGCTACAACGCTGGGACTTTTTCTGTTGCACACGAAATCAAAGTCGAGCATGCTCTGGATGGCACGGTTCTGCATTCCCCAAATTATGGCTTTAGTGTTGTTGGTGAACATTGGAAGGGCTTTTGAGTCTCCCTGTTAAAAAAATTGAACTAAATTTATATGTGCGCTAGGCAACCATATATATATATAGGTTAAACAAATATGTTGTAGTGGTGAGCTTAAGCAAATAAACAAAAAGGAAGTAACTACGTGAAAGTTTCTAGTTTTACTAGTATTTTTCTTACAATTTATACTTTACTAGTAAATCGTGTAGATGATAGTCTACGAGTACATGAATTATAACTAAGTAACACATATTACACGTGATTTTAAAAACACAGACATAATTAACAGACCAAAAACTAAAACAAATTAACAAAAAGCATAGGCTTCCCTGGCAGGTATATTGCAATGATACATTTGTTTTCAGGTTTTTAAGATCTGAAATTATTTTTTTCTGACGTTCCCGCTAAAACCTGGTAGTTTTCCCACTCAAGAAATTGTTTAAAAAAAAGATAATTTTAAAATTATAACCAAGTTGTTAGGCGGTTATTTTTTTCCAAATTGACGGTTAACTTACTTTAGCTCGATCTTGTAGACATACAGCCATGCTTTTTGTTGATAATTTTGAGGGTGAAGTTTGTGCTCTCAATCCCTTAATGTTGGTATGTTCTTGTTGCTGACTTCTTTTAGTATTGGCACCCAGAGCTAGATACAATAATCTGATGTGTTTGCTACACATTTTTCTTCGTTCTATAAGAAGAGAGCTGCTTCTTTGATTTTTCTCTTTTTTATGTCTATTTCTTTCATGGCTATTAATGCATCTTTGCATTGTATTCTGTGCTCATTGTGACAGGCCCGTTTACATATCTGTGATTTGCCGAAGTCTCTGTTTTTGATGAACGTTTCAAGATCGTTAATCCTGATACTTAGGGTTCTTGCGGATTCTCCCACATAAAAATTGTTGCATTCACAAGGTAGATGCAGTTCTTTGGTATCTCTTGTGTGTTGTTAGGTTTGGTATTGGACAGAATATATCTCAGTGTAATGGTTGTTTTGAATGTTGTGATGTACTTAATTCCTATCTTATTTAACTTCTGTGATAAGCCCTTTACATATGGTATTTTTGTTATCTTTAAATCCATTCTTGTGAGCATTTCTGGATTCATTATGATGTTTTGTTGTTTTCTTTCTTCAATCGTGTAAAAGTCCTTGTTTATAAATGAGAATGGGTAATAATTTTTTGTTAAAACCTTTGTTAGCAGGTTTCTTCCTGAAATTCATCTTCATTTAAATATGTGCTTGGAGCACATGTTTGAGTGATAATTTAAATCTCTATTAGTGTCGATTGGTTTTCTGTATACTTTGGTTTCATATCCTGTATCCTCTTTTATAATTAACACATCCAGAAAAGGAAGTGAGTTGTTCCTTTCTTATTCCATGGTGAATCTGATTGATATTTCTTTACAATTGATATCCATGAGATATTTAATCAATGCTTCTGGTTTGTGAGGCCAAATTGTGAATTTATTTTTTCATTACAATCGACTGTAGCTTAATCCCATATAAACATATTTAACTAAATATGCCACAAGAAAACTTAACTTATTGTTACACATTTTATTTTCTTTTTAATTATGAAAAGTGAGGTTTTTGTCGGGAGTGACCACTCATAACCTAGTTTCTTGTGAGAAATAAAACAAACAAAAGCTTGATGATACTCGGTAAGGACCGAAAAAGGTCCAGTAGTCGAATATGAGCGGCCCAGCACGGAAAAGGTTTGAAGCCAGATCTCCTCTCAAGAGACTTGACAGCAGGCCCTAAAGCCTATTCAAAATGTACAAACATATATGTAGGGTGTACACAAAAGATCCTTAATGTGGGAGTATGGGAAACTCTTAGGTTAAATGACCCATTTACCAATAATCGCTAATGCTTGGCATAACTAGTCATCTATAACATTACTTTTTAGGTGGTCTAGTTGATACGCTACCGTGTTCTTTACCAATTTCCATGACATATATTTCGATAAAACAATATTAACAGAATAGAATAAACCACTAGAACATGTTTCTTTAGCCTATACATTTCTACTAAACCAATTTGAAAAAAAAAAGTATGCAGATGATTACCTCTGTCGATGATGGTGATGAAAGGTGTACGTTGTTTGATACATTTTCCTTTAACAAACGAAATATAAATATCTTTATGTTTTTCAATTATATCGATAGCTTTATTTACAATTAAGTTAAAACAAAACTAAAAGCCAGATTTTCATTTTTGTAAGTAATTGTTTTTTAAGCTTGCGTGCTAAAGAACAAGTGTTATTAACTCAACATGACAAAAATTAAAATACAGTATTTTTCAAAATGTTTTTTAAAAGTTTACAGAAAGTAGCAAACATTTTAAAGCTAAACTTACTAAAGTGTGGGGGCGGCAGTCAATATTATGGTTTATGAAACGTCTAACACAGTGACATATGCACTGAGCAAGGCCCATTTTATTTAAAAAGATAAAATAGATTGTAATGATATATTGTTTTCTGAGTTTATAGGAAGTGGTTTGGCCCACAAAAGAACTGATTATTTCTGAACTTTTATACGCAGCTGTGACAACGGTCCTAACTTTCTCTCTCTCTCACTGATAAACTTCATCGAGTACTTGGGCTATTTACAATTTTCACGTGACCCCGGACCAGCCAGTTGATTCGAATTGGTATTGGAATTTTGGTGCGTCCTGGAAGAGGTTTTTTATTTAATAGCGCTGAGACCAACAATCTATTTAGAAGTAGACCCTCTTCCTAAAGTTGGATTTCGCTAGAATCTGAAAACCTGTGGATAGTAGTGTGATACGTAAGTAGTCTTTAGCACTAAAACATGGGCCAGATGAATGAAACATGTACAATATGCCAATTAGCGACAGTATAATCGGTTAAAATAACAAAGGGCTTCGATTAAAATCCTGTGTTTTTCAAATAAAACTGGTAACATTATGTAATAGTGTTAATAGTGGTAACATTATGTAATAAGTTAATAATTCTCTATCGGTCCCCTTGGCCGATCTTAGATTTTTCTGTACCAACTTCGTTGGTTTAAACACAGAATTACGTCGTGTCTTGCTACGATTTTGCCAATTTGATCCTAAATGAAATCCTCCACTCCAATTGGACTATTTATTACAAATTTAGCGGATATTACAATTCGGCTCCTTAACTGAATTATGCCGTTTTTATTTTGATCTGATATCAAACACCAATTCTTTCTCTTTTACTTGTTAAGCCAATCTGCCATTTCTCTGACTTTCCGTTAATCAACGAGAATTTTACATTTAATTTACCTTACTTTTCTGTTCGTGGTAGTCAGGCTTCTTTCATTTTAGATCAATCTTTCAATGGAGTTAAAATTCAATGACGGTTAAATAATACAAAGTTGAAGGTTCCCCTTATTTAGGAATTTTAGTTTAAAAATGTTTCACTACTTCATTAATAAAAAAAATTGGGACTAAAAAATATATAACAATTTATAGAAAAAATGTTAATTTTAATATGTTAAAAGCTAATATGTCTAAAAAACTGTTTTCCTTTTAAACTCTTATTTGCTACCTCCACCATGCATGTAAGTAATAATAAACTATAGGGAGAGACATATTACGCATCTAGAAGTTTGTGCGCTGTCCCCACTAAGCATAGCGAGGAGTTCAAAGTCAAATAAGTCGCATATGACTAACTGGCTGAGTTTACCGAAAGTCAAGCTGAATATAGCCGCAAATGTCAAAAATATTTGGGTTTGGCAGTGTTGGGATGTTTTATAATACATATGTTGTATGCTTCAAATATAAAGAGAGAAAGCTTTCAAACAGTACATTTTGATTATACTATTTTATGAACTCTACAACTTTTAATTTATATGAAGTAATAACGAGTAAATATTTGTCTCTGTCGAGATTAATTGCAAACATCTTTTGGAATCTGGCAACTTCTGATTTGACGATTGCCAAATATATTCCCTAATATATCAAAGGGTAATTGCCAAAAAAAATTTCTAATAATTAACTGCAATTAATCTCCAAAGAAACAAATATTTAGTTATTCTTGTTTTATACAAATAAAAAATTGCAGACTTTATAACATAATATAAACAAAATGTACTTTTCTAAAGCTTTATCTTTTTTATTTGAAGCATACAGCATCTAGATTATAAAAATATGCCAACACTGCTATACCAAAATTTTTTGTTCCATGTTTGACATTTGCGGCTATAATCAGCTTGTACTTTCGGTAAACTCAACCGACTAACTTTCTGTAGAACTTATTTCCAACGATAAAGCCACTTTCTTGACATGTCCAAATCAATGTGGTTGTTCAATCACAAATTAAACCCTTAATTTGTAATTTCACATTTATCTTAACTTTCTAATTTTCCTGTATATAATAGAATATAGTATTAGAAATTATTTGGGTAGTGGGTAGGAACTCCTTAGACAGTCCTATTAGGGAGAATGAATCATTCCCTGCCCTCCACAGATTCCAGGTGCTTCTTGACCCTGGAAACTAGTACCTGCTCAGGGTCCCTTGTCCAGGGTCACGGATGAAGACCACAACGGCATTCAAGGCAGAGTATACCTTAGGATGGCGGAAGTGGCACCCCCTGATTTTAGGGTTAATATAAAATCAGTAGCGTCTGATCCAGAGTGGACGGCTACGAACAGCGTCTGACCCAGAGTGGGCGGCTGAATATACACTCACCAACCCGTCTGACCAGCGTGATGTTTTATGGTCAACACCTCCTTTCTCAAATGACGAATACAAACCCGAACGGAACTGGTCCCCAGGTAGGTGGTTCACATTGTAATCCTACACCATATCTAATAAGGTCAGTCTCATCGGATCTGGGGGGAGACAATAGTTCGTCAATACAGACAACAAAAATGTATATTTTAACTTCCAATGTAAGATCTTTGTCTAAAGACGAGAAACTCTATGAATTGGAGGAAGAAGTTAAACACCTACAATGGGACATAATCGGACTATCGGATGTAAAAAGAAAAGGTGAAAACTGCATCTCGCTAGAGTCTGGAAACATATTGTATTTTAAAGGTAGAGAAAACGAAAGTTTAGATGGAGTTGGTTTTTTGATTTCGAAAAAATATGCTCATAAAATTGAGGAATACGTAGGAATAACAGAAAGAATCGCTTTAATAATTATAAATATCAGCCAAAAAGGTCACTTTAAAAATAATTCAGATTTATGCGCCAACATCTACACACACAGTCGAAGAAATTGAAGAATTCTATGAACACCTCACAGAGTCCATGACATATCGAAACACTACATACACGATTATAATGGGCGATTTTAATGCGAAAATGGGCAAAAAACTAAAAGAAAACGAAAACTGTATTGGAGAATTTGGACATGGAGTAAAAAATGAAAGAGGAGATCTATTGGTTAACTAGCTAGAAAACAACAAATTATTTGCCATGAACTCTTTCTTCAAGAAAAAGCCACATAGGAAATGGACGTGGATGTCGCCAGATGGGAACACTAAAAATGGAATTGACTACATACTAACAAACAAAAAGAACATTTTCGAAGGCGTCACAGTAATATACTCAATCTCTACTGGTAGTGAACACAGAAATGATCGAAGAAAATATGTACACTCTAAGAAAAAAGTCCACCCAGAAAAATTAAATGAGAATAAAGAACAATACCAAAACAAACTGAGGAACAGCTGAAGAACTAAAGTTAACAGACCTAAATCTAGATCAATTAAACAAAGCCATCACTGAAGAACTTCTAAAGACTAGCTTAGAAGTAGTACCAGCATAATCAGGCAAAAAGTCAAAACTAAGTGCCATATCTTTAGACATGCTACAACAACGGAGAAGCCTACTACAAGAAAATAAAAGAAATACAACTCAATACAAAACCCTTGCAGAAATAAGAATACATATAAAACAAGATCTCAAACGGCATCAAGAAGAACGAATCCAGAAGATTATAGAAGAAAATAGAAACTTAAGATCAATCAAGTCCCACCTAGGAAGAAATAAAATCATAGAGATGAAAAATAAACAAGGTGTAATAGAAAAAAGCAGAACCCAAATATCTAAGATAACAAATGAATATTATAGGGACCTCTATAGCTCTAAAAACAGTCCACCTGATACAACTCAACAAAACCTGAAAAAGAAAATAATAATTGTAAACTCTGAAATATTATCCCCCATAACCAGAGAAGAAATAGAAAAAGCAATTAGAGATATGAAAAGAAATAAGGCTCCAGGAGACGATGAAATTCTAATTGAAATGTTAAAAGATAAAAGACTACCTAAAGATACTTTTCAATAAATGTTAAATGTAAAATTAGCTAACTATAGACCAATATCTCTCTTGTCACAAATCTATAAAACTTTCACTCAGGTGATCACAACTATACTAAACAACAAATTTGATGCATACCAGCCAGTTGAGCAGGCAGGATTAAGAAAGGGGTACAGCACAACTGACCACCGTCACACTCTTAAAATATTGATAGAAAAGACCAACGAATACAACTTTCCAATATACCTAGCGTTTGTTGACTATAAAAAAGCGTTTGACAGCATAGAACTATGGGCAGTGGAAGAAGCTCTAGTTAATTGCCGAATAGATTCACGATACAGAATGTTAATCCACAATATATATCAAAACGCCACTATGAGAATTCAGCTAGACAGAGATTTGCAAACTCCATTAATTAGAATTTGTAGAGGTGTCAGACAAGGGGATACAATCTCACCCAAACTATTTACTCTGGCGTTGGAAGACATTTTTAAATCTACAGACTAGGACAATAAGGGAATTTGTATAAACGGGAAATATTTAAATCATCTAAGATTCGCCGATGATGTACTCCTGACAGCAACAACTATGGAAAAACTATGAATAATGATTTCAGACCTAGAAAAAACATCTCTTGAGAAAGGACTAAAAATGAATCTAAAGAAAACTAAAATAATGACTAATACAGAAGTCAGATCAGTAATTACCATAGGTGGAACAGACATAGAACACGTCCAAGAATATATTTATTTAGGACAAGCGATCAGAGCAGACAAAAGTAACCAGACTAAAGAAATAACCAGAAGAATAAGAATGGGGTGGGCTGTATTCGGAAAACTCTCATATACTATCAA